GGGGTGTTTCCCAAACACCATGAATTTAAGGATGCTGAGGGGAAAAGGTGAGATCTTTATTAGAGATTCAATGGAAAAAGCCATAGCCAACCAGATACTCTCCACCCTGGTTGAAAGTGAGGGACACGTGATGTTGAAGATGGCTTTGCTTCCATGCTTATTTCTCTACGCCGAACGGTGTCTTGACTTTCACGTGTATCCTATAGAAGCCCAATATCAGCATGCCAAGCTTATTGGCAAAAGATAACTTATTACTATCAGCTATAGCATTAAAGCCCTCATTGAAAACATCTTCTCATTCAGACACCAAAATGGAGTGAAATGACACAGAGTCATCTTCTTCGCAAGGCAAAACATCCCGTTCTGAGGCTCTTTCTTCTTGAATTTCCCCAGTCGAACCAACATCCCGAACCTGGTCCTTCCTTGCTTGTCGTTCCTTCCTAGAAATGAGCATACTTAGGCACTTCTTCCTTAGCGCTCTCGAGGCCATATGGAGCCCTCGACAAACTGAATCATCACTCATGCCGCCATCGCGAATTCCCTCATAAGTGTCCTTCGCCATATCAACGCAGGTTTCATCACTTACCTCCCAGAGTGTGCCAATAACATGCCGAAACCCCGCTAACCTAAAACCACTAATAAGGTGAATACTTTCATCTAGGAAAGTATTATTTTTGATCTGACCTGTCCCGCATGCCGAAAGGTATGCTAAGAATGGTTGACTTTGGCGAATATTTAGGCTCAACAGCTTTCCCACTTCCAGGGTGTCACTTTTGCCGTTATCTTCGAGAAGCAGATGGCTTCGAGAAGGATCCTGGCTGTCTGTGAAACCGTGACCAGCAAAGTGGAAAATCTTGCAATGTGGAAGTTGCGATAAAATATTGGTCTTGTTTTTGGCAATGATAGGATCCAGTGACATGGATATGTGGAGCTTGTGCAACATGTTGACCTCACGAGTTGCGAAGGGAAGTCTTGTGGCCCCAGGAGTATTTTCCATCGCGACAAGCAATGATCTATCTCTCGTTACCTCTCTCGTTGTCTTTGTATCGTGACGACCATTGATGATCGCCTTGACAGATGAACTGTAGGATGACATAACTCTCTCAATAACGGCTTCCGAGGATCCATCATTATGATAACCTGCGGCATGGAGAGGAAATCCACTGAGGGGGCCCATTGGTATCCAACATATTCTTGGCCAGTCTTTATCTGAGATGGGAATCTTGGTGAACCCAAGAAAGTCCAAAATTGGTTTCATTGCAACATCCCATAACCAGGAGAGAACAACGGGGCTGTGTCGTGATTGAGCTTTGATCTTTTCAAAGCTTAAGTCCGCGAGAGCCATGGAGAGAATTTGATCATGTGATATTATTATAGCATCAGATCGATAGCGACTGACGTTGATAACAACAATAGGATGCTCGCTTGCCGCTGGTTTAGGGGCATCTTCGCTTGGTTCGCGTAGAAAATCCTTAAACCCGGGTAGCTGTCGGATCTTATCGACGAGATTTTCGAAGACATTGCCCCTCTTATATCGCTGGTCGGGGACACTGTCTTCTGTGGCTGGTATATCTAACGCTGCCCGTTGAGTGAGGAACTGGTTCGCCAAGTCAGGATATTTTTCCTCCAAAATGCCGACCTCACCGCGCAGATCTTCGATAGATGTTGCTATAACATCCCTCCCAATTTCCAAAAACTGCAGAGCAACCGATGGCTCTTTTCCAGCATAGAGGGCCATGGAAGCTGCCTCACATGCAACACCTTCTATGTCTCTGAGCACATACTGTATGTCAAATGTTTCGAGGAAACGAGGTATGAGAGGGGGAATCAATTTGATGAGCGAAGCGGCTACCTCGTAGCCTTGCATCCAGTCCTCAGCCAAAGCGAAAAAATTCATCGCATCCTCGCCAGCCAGTATCTTAGCGTAAACATCTATTGAGGGATCCTGTATCACTGTCCGAAGGTGAGTGGTGCCGGTGGTGAGGTCTTCCTTGGCTCGGGTGTTTCTATATTTGTGCTTGTAACGGCTGCCAAGCTCGAACAGGCGAACTGCACGTGGTATATCTTCTGGGAGGGTATTTTCTAGGCTCCGTTGCATAAGCAGAATGCTTTGGTCGATGTCAGTGACAGACTTTGTCTTATGAAACCTTTCTAATACCGCTCGAGATTTCCATTGAAGTTGTGTCGCTTGTTGTTTCGTGGTATTCGATGAGTCAATAGCTCTTTGCCAAGTCTCAATTGCAGTATCAATATCTGAAAGGAGCTTCGTTTCGAAAAATTTATCTTGATACGCCATTCCAAGTTCTCCAAGTATAGATGAACCATTCGGGTCCTCTACTTTGGATATCTTAACCGCATTCTGGAGCAATTCAATGGATCTTTCTAAGTCTTTGAATGACCCGACCTTTCGTCGCTTGAGTGCATAGGCCGTCCCGAGATTTGCGTAACCAGCGGCGAGTGTAGGGTCCCCAGTAGGTGTGTGATCTACACATTCTTGAAACAACGTGATGGCCTTATTGATTTCCAAAGTGTCTTCGTTTCTCAAATACTTGATTTGATGGCCCAATGCGAGATCCCGTCGCCTGGAGTTCTTGATTTGGTATGTACCTGCTGTCGCATCGCAAGCTTCTTGGAGGAGTTGCAGAGAGGTATCCATATCCAACATTGTTGCCGTGACTTGGTACCTCGCCTGATAACCAAGGCCAAGGGCGTGAGTCAGATCGATGCGGATCATGTTGATGGGCAAGTCGAGGTCGAGCCCCTCCTCATAACTGCGAATGCTCTCATTGACATCAGCCACCTCGCCGGAACAATTTAATCTCACGCGATATGCGTCTCCCAGGATTTTCATCTGCAAACCACGCAAATGATGAGTCGTTCCCGTTATGTAGGTAGCTTCACGACAAAGCTTGATAGCACTATCAATATCAGCCGTGTTCATATTTCTTTCACATCTAACTTGGTATGCTGTAGCTAGACATAAATACTGTAGTGGACGTGTTGGACTTTCCAATGGCGCTAGGTCGATCGCTTCTTGAAGGTACTCGATTGCCCAATCGATGGCATCAAAGGACGTCGTGAGATGGAATTTTTCAATCAGCGTGATACCCAGAGTGTGGAGATGAGACACTCTTTGTGCATGATCAGGCGAAGCCGTTTCTAGCCAGTGACGAAGCTTGTCGATCTCTTGGTCTATATCTGACCTCTTCGTGTTTTGTCCGAGTGCTAGGGCCCGTGGCTCATCACCTAGCGGGAAGCTGACATAGAAGAGAGCTCCATAAGCACTGCGGGTATACCTCAGGTTTGCACCGATATATTCAAGGCCCTCCATTATCGAGTAAGTGATTCCAGTGAGAGTCGTTCGTTCCAGGTCTATCAACGTGATTGTGCCATGATGGGAGCTGGGTATTGAGGCGCTAGAAGTAAGACGGGGCCCAACGCTGAACCGGGCGTTAAATTGGGCTTGGATAGGCAGCCTTACTTTTATGATCAGGCATCCATTGGACTTCTAAGACGTGGCCAATTAGTCAGGTATTAGATCAGAATTTCTAATTCACATGTGATCTATAGGTCTTTATGCGTCTGAGACCACTGGTCGAATGCATATATGCGAACTACAACTACTCATACAACACAGGTCTCTTGTTTCCGCAATGTTTTATGCCACCTAGCCTGAGATTCAGATCACTATCAGCATCGCCAAGTCCAAGCGGATGCGAGACCTCCAGATTGACCCTTGATAGAAGCAATGCCTTGATTAGATCCTTTCACATTGAACTACAAACAAGACCAGGTTGGTTAAAATAGCAACACACATGATAACTAATCTTTTATGCGCCATCTATTGATTCTTTTGTCCGTTTGTGGTGGAGCTGGCAGGCAGGGCCCATTCCGGTAGCTGCCTGTAGCCTGCAATATGCAGAAGTGCAAAGGGAGAACCAACATACATTAAACAGCGACCAACCCAATCAAATCTCTTCTAACCGTTCTCTCAGCCAATTTAAATCGCGCAATCTATTTTGCCTAATACTCCAGCGTCTTCAGCTATGACCCTAACGCACCCTGCTATTGATCGTTGATCCACCACTCTGAAATCCGTCTGCAGTGCCTACCAAGTGTACACCAAGCAACTCGATCGCAATGCTCTGCAATATCTGCCGCGAAGGTCTCCAGGGCATTTGGGACCCCTCCAAGGCTAAGCGAGTGTGCAGGGAAATTGAGTTCGAAAAGAAACTCAAGGAAGATAAGCGCTTATATCAGGCGCCTCCGTCGCACTTGCATAACCAGCACCCAACGCACTTTTTGTTTGGTCACCATCCAACTCTAGAGTCCTATCTACAGTCTGTTGCCGATGGATGTGTTATGTATTGCTAGTCCGGATATAGCAGTATGGAGATCGATCAAGAAGCCGCAATAGCTGAGCTAGGGTTTTATTCCTTATTCGCTATTAACCTCCTAAATGCATAACCAGTTATATCTATATATACACCCAAGGCTCGTTTCAACCAGCCGATGAAAATGTTCGACGGTATGTTGTTTCCGGCATATTATTCATATCACGTTGCTAACAGATTTTCAGGCTCCCCCCATAACTGCAACCTTGAAATTAGCCTATCAACCGGAGATACCAAGGCCTGGAGCTTAGTTCAGAGCTGGATGGATATATGTATCCAGACCTATAGGCGCTACAGCCAAGCCACTGGTTTTATTCCAAGCTATCTGCTGGAATTAGATGACCTTAGCAGGTTATTCTGTTTGATCCCCGTTGACCGGCTTTCTACCCAGTCTGGTGGTGTCTGCTACTGCACACTCAGCTACTGCTATAATACTGATAACAGCCTCCAGCTAATAACATCGAGCCTGGGGTACTTCTCTCGCCCACAATCTCTCTCCACGTTACCCTTAGCCTATAGGCATACCTTTGCTGTAGTCAAACGGTTGGGTGTGCGTTATCTTTGGATCGACCACCTTTGTATCCTTCAAGACGAACTACCACTTAGCAACACTGAGCTACAGGATATCTTGTCTAATAGCTTCTGTGGAATTGGCGCTACAGGATCCACTCTACCTTCTTCTAGACTGTTTGCTGAAAGGGCGCCGTACCTTCTCAGACCTACTGCGTTTGAATTTCCTCTTAACGCTGAGGGAAATATAACCCTGTTAAAGTTCCACAGGCCAGAGATGGCGCAATTCAAGGATGAGCCATTGATCCAAACAGCGAAAGGTTTCCGAGAACGTCTTTTAACACCACGGATGATCCATTTGGGGACCTCGCTTATCTCCTGGGAATACCACGGTGCTCTTTGCAACGAGGCAAACCCTGGCGGTATCCTGTGATGCATCCCCTGTGTCTCACGTTGTCATTTGAGGGTGGAACTATGTTATCAGTCTCTCACTCCTTGCATTTATCAATCTTATCTTGGTGGTTTTAGGAATATTACATGCACTACTAATTTTAGAATCACTGCGGTCTTTTTCAATTTTTTCTTGATACGATAAGACCCATTACTCAGATATACCCCGAGAAATTTGATATCGCTTGTCGTCACCCAAGTTCTGTCCCTTGCCGTAGGGTAGTTGCCAAGAAACTGTCGAGTGAAGGGAGTTGACGTCATTTGATCCCTGTTACCAGGATCTTGGGTGAGACTAAATTGAAGGGTTCAATGCCGATCTGCCACGATTCCGAGCCGTTGATTGGCTCGACTGACAATCCTGGCTTCAGGATCCATGCTTCTGATGTCACCTCCAGCATCACACAAGGGAGGGTTCAAGAAATAATTGGCATCCTTACGTAGGTGCGGTATGATGCAATCAGTAGATGCTTGCTCCATGCGGCATAAATACAGACTTGGTTGTCGTGCTGTTCCTTGCATATACTTACTAGCACTGTCAATTATTTCCACGCATTTACCTTCAAGTTACCTACACAGACACCCATTTACACACAATATAACACACACACAATGGGTCTGGGATCCAAGATCAAAGGAGCCCTGAGCGGCGACAAGAGCCATCGTCACAGCACCTCACAGCCGGCCCGAAAGCCACCTGGTGCTTACCCAGATTCCGTTGCCGATATACCTCGCAGTGCCACCGTAAACAATGGCACTAGAACCAGGACTTGGGAGACCACTACTGAGACGGCCTCCACCAAACAACGCCCGTCCTCGGTCAAGGACCTTCATAGAACGACTGAAGGTGATGACGCCGACGAGTACACATATTCCCCTGTCAGCCCAGACTCAGCAGCCCACCAGAACAACCTGAATGGGATAGCAGCTGGCCAGGTTGAAGATGACGAGTTGGCCATTCCCAGTCCAGACTCAAGGACCGCCCCAAATGGCTACAACAAGAACGCACCGTTCTCAGCCGGCAGCACCAAGCCGCAAAAGTACCCCTACTGGGGCGACGTCGGCAAGACCAACACGCAGCGAGATGATGTGGGCACCAACGGACATCACCTCGAGCGTAACGGAATCACTAGCAACGGCGATTACTCTGCTCACCGCGGCCAACCCGGTGCCCGCGGATACGATGATGATGACACTTTCGAAACTCCAATCATCGCAACTGTCAATCGCGGCCAGCCACACATGACCGATGATGAAAACCGAGCCATTAGCATGGCCGCCACTGAGCTGAACCAGCCAAGTGAATACGGAGACTATGCTCCTACCGAATTGCCATATCGCAGCGCTAGTCGCACGAATGGTCACACTGGTAAAGGCCTGAGTTATCCTGTTGGCTCTACTGCCAATCATTACGACGACAGCTATGCGGTGAAGCAAACCCCCATTGTCAATGGCGGAGGTCCCTCACCAACCAACGCCCGCGGCACCTTTGGTTCTCCTACCATGGAATACAACAACAATGCGAATGGGGCTGCTTTCCCAACTGCCAATCCCAAGTTTGCGCAGGAACACATCAAGGAGCGAGAGCAGAGCAATTCTGTGGGAAGCAGCTCCGACGGCATCGGCGCCGACCCGGCTCCAAAGCCAGCCGGAGCCGATCACTACGGCCCGGGACACTCTGGCGCCAAGGTCCTGCATCGTTGCGAGCACTGCGGCAATGACAACGACATCACCAGGTACTTTAGCAAGGACGTCGTCTATCGACTGTCCTAGTGGACAGACTATACGATCTCCTTTACGGATTCTATCTTTTGTATCATTTCATAGCGTGTTTATCTTGTGAGCCTATGCTACCTTTATATAATCGACTCTAGTGGATGGCTGGCGAGTGTCCAGCCAATAAAGGTGTCGGCACCCCAGCCAAATGAGAAAATGTAAATATATCGCTACAATCCAATTTACTTCTTACTCTAAAGTCCGAACTCTTTTGTAGTTACCTCTATGTGAAACTTGCCAACGATTATATCTTTGACGCCGTTCTTGACTACAATTTATGCGTTGGTAGTGTTATACATGAATGTATTGAGACCCATTCTCTTATAAAGATAGAGTAGGTGTACGATCGGGCAATTGCTGCTTATCCAACATGCCAAGAATTATTCATAGTCTACAATACCGACGATGCAAAATGAGTGTAGTTGACTCCTTGGTTGGATATCCGAGCCCGTTTGCACTATTGGGTTGAGTAAATTAGCGAGACATTGCAACACTCTGAATCTTTGTGGCCGAGTGAAATGTAATGGAACAGGCAGCGTTTACCTGAATCATGAAAAGAAAACTATGACCTGCTATGAACGCTGACTGCAAAGCTTAGCCAGACACATGGATAGTTTGTCTCTTTACATGAGGGATTGTGCTAGTTACATTTACACGGTTGGACCATGAGGGGGAGCGGCAAGCCTCTACACGGTACATTCGGTAAGGCGACGAGCTCTCATATTTTCCATTTCACTTAGGAGCTTCTGCCTCCTCGGGAATCTAGGTAGAGAAAACCATTTGAGGGAAGGTCCACAGCCATCTGGATATGGTAAGTAAGTAGTAAGTGAGAGAGCTATACAGTTATGCGGCAGCTGCTGGGAAAAAAAAAGGGAAATTCCCAAACACCAAGAATTTAACAACTTGACACCATACCCAGTATCGCAATACATTACTGGATACGGTAAAAGTTGGCACAGGCGTACGCGGTCCGTGGTTCGCATGGGTCGCCATAAGGCATTATAACTATAAATATACCCAGGGGCTATGCGGGGTAATAAATCGTGCCATCCTCTCATTATCAACTTCGTCATCTTGAAGACACACATGAGATAATGGCAACTCCATCCACTGATCCTGGCGCCTTTGGCATTTCTCCAGAAGACTGGCATGATGCTGATTCTTATACAGATCTGGCTTCGGTCTATGAGGAACTTGGCCGCATCGATATACTCGACCGGGATGTGGTTCGGCATCTCCAATGTTCTAAGGCGATTAAGGGAACACAGGAGCTTTCGCCTTCTCCATTATCGAGTCAAGATTCTTCGTCCACCTCAGAATGTAGATGGAGAGATGCGGCCATCTGCATCGACCGACGACGCGAAGCACTGAGGTCGAGGGCGGCGTTTCTCTCACGCGGGGAAACGAGAGACATCCAATTGATGGATTTGTCAGTAGAGCTCCTGGCGATGATATCCAACCAGTTCCGTTACTCAGCATCCCTGGACCGAACTGCAGAAGACTTTATTGCCCCGTTCTCTCGATCTGACTTGCAGGCCGTACAATCCCTACGGCTCGTCTCCCGTCTCTTCAACAGCTTGTCGACCCCATTACTCTATCCCATCGTACGGCTCTCGCTCAGTCAGAAATCCCTCGACCGCGTACAGGCAGTTTGTTCCAGTCCCTTGATGGCCTCTGGCGTTCGAGCCATCCGGGTGGGCCTCGAGAACCATCCAATAGAGCTTGTAAGGGACTTCGATGGATGGTTGCATTACCACATCCACAAGCTGGGCATGAAACACCGGAGGCTGTCCTCAAGTCTTGCGCAAAACGCATTCAGACGAAAAGCAGCCGAGAAGGCTGGTAGCGTGGAGCGGGCGAAACATTTCCACGAAGCGATGGAAGACATTCGCCGGGCGATCGACAGATCAAAAGTTGTCAGGTTTGCCATGAGGCAGATGAGCTCTGGTACTGAATTGGTCCCGGATGAATCAGACGAGGAGCGGGTTGCCAGATACAGGGTGCTTGTCCGACACTGCCATGATGAGTTCTCGCGCACGTACGAGGAGCAGGTGCGACTACTGTTGGACAAGTCGTTTGTCAGCTCCGTTGCTCGCTTGGCTCTCCATGCATCACACCCAGTAGCGCTCGAACTGATCGCAAGAGAATTTAGATACCCCAAGAGTGCGAAGAACGAGTTTCGGTCTGTTTGCAGGTCTAAATCACTCTTGTCCAGGTACTTGGCATCCGGCGTAAGCTGGCATCACGAGGGGGATGCTGGCAACGATGAACAGCAGCAACAGGCAATCAGAATCATCCATGATCTCCCGGTTGCCATCCATCAGGCTGGCGGAGTCATAAATGCATTTAAATTAGGCTGCCCGCCCATGGTCCATCATTTTCGCTTTCTGGAAGGCTTAACAGATCGTGACTGGTCGTTGCTTAATGCGGCATTCCAGCAGCTGAAGATATTCCATATGCCCAACCTTTCTTTCTCATACCCCTCCAGGTTGCTGCTTCTCTCAGAGGAACAGAAGGTTCACTTCGAGGCCTACTTCTCCGCGTTGATAGACCGTCAGCACCTCGAAGAAGTCTCTTTTGATGGCCAAATATATCTGGGCTTTAATGCGTTTGGGTCTGTTGAGCATGGAGGAATTTGGGGGGTTTTGGAAAGAATGTTTGGAAGAGCATATTGGCCTCGCATCAAAAGGATCAAATTTTCTAAATTCTCCATAGCCCAAACTCATATGGAAGGCCTTTTTCAAGGTCTGGGAACAAGCATTAACCAAATTACATTGAACGATATTCATCTGGAGAGCGGGAGCTGGATACCTGCAATAGACATCTTGCAAGAAAGGATGAAGCAGACACTTGGGTCTGGATCTCTAAATGAGTGCTCCGTTCACTTGAAAGCTTTATCGGGTGTGGAGATGGGCCGTCTTAAAATTGAAGCTGTCGGCCCTGTGATGGAGGCATTGGAATCTTATATTCTAGGAAAGGGCCCTTCTGACAACCCCTTGTTAAAGTATGCTCTCTCTTAGTTAGCAGGCTTCGAAGACACGGCACGCGCCGTGAATCTGAACCACTTTTCCTGAAACATATTTCCGCCAGAAAGGTATATTGAGGAGACCGTTCATTTAAAGACATTACAACCATTGGCAACACTTATTTTCCGGAGTAGAAATATGTCTACTTAGCTGTTAGTTAATATGCTCCGGCTCGTCGTGACAAGCATGTCCCAGGGACGACTTGGCTACATGGAAACCCCTTCGCGGGTCTTTAGCGGAACCAACCTGAGCAGGTGTAGGTGGAACAGTTGGTCTTCCTTCAGCTTTCTCGGACTCATTCTTCGAGTTCCCCGAGCCCATCATCGGGGGTCACCTCTCATCCCCGTTTGTCTGAATCCTGAGGGCGTAGTTCTGCAAAGAAAAATAGAAATCTTAAATGACATAAAGTAGCGCTCTAAGAACAGTGGTCGTTTGGCAGTGCCTAATACAAGAGGAACAAAATTATTTGCTTTGAAAGGGAAAAATAAAAGAAGACCAACTGGGCCTACTCATACAAAAAGGAAACAAATCCTTGGACATGAAGTCGGAAATCATATTGAGGACGTGTCAGACTAATACTACAATATGAGATATAATGCCACGTCTCTTGATTCTGGCTATGACGTGAAATGCCAACTCCTCCCGTAATTTGTCGATGCATGGCCCTCGGATAGCCGTTTTGAGGATCCAAGACGACCCTACTTATAGAACATGGCGCATGATGACGGCGCATGCTGACGGCGTGTGGCAACGGCGCGTGATGATTACTTACAGCCTACAGACTAGGCTGCCACTGCATCGCACCAAGTTCTCATGACTGATCGTCTGCCACGCTGTACAGCACCCATGCGATGCTACCTACTCTCTCTCCACAGCCACACCTTCCAAATGCAGTGCCTACTTCTAGCCTAGTAAGCCCAAGACTTGCGATGTCACGACTCGGACTTGGTAAATCAACTTCCGCAATCGGCACATCACAGCCCAACATGAGGTTGCGATGGCACTTTGGTCTTTTCTCACAACTCCACCAAGGATCTTTAGGAACTGGAGTGTGCCGCAGGCCGCTCGCTGCTACTACATCATAGGCCTCTAGTCTACTATATCTACTTCAAGATGCCCTGTATAAAGAACAAGTTCGGTCAGCCTCCTTGCTCTCTCTTATCCAGATCGCCAACAGTACTTCGTTTTGACTTATAGGACATATCTGTATATATACTCCTGATGATGTACACTTATTTCTTGACGGCCGCCATTGTCGCTGGCGCTACCCTCGTCCAGGCTGATGCCTCTTCTTATAACCAGAACGCTGGGTGCAACAAGTATTTCTCACATCACAACTTAGACTAATAGACTTGTCCACCCTAACACTCAAATGTCCTCGCAGGGATCAGTTGCTTCGGTGGTTCAACTCTAACACGGGTCTCTTCTATGATAACAGTAACAACCCGTACTGGTGGCAGGGAGGGAATATGCTTACCACCCTCGCTCTTTTCGGCAAGCTCGATTCTGGTGTCGCCAGCCAGGTTGCTCCTGTCATCAACCAGATCTATACCAATGCCCCCAAGAACAAGCCTTTTGCTAGTGCCAAACAATCTAGCGACATGTCAACTTACGAAAAGGTCTATATTCCCCGCAACAAGCTTGCTGGCCGCTCTCCCCTCCTCCGTCGCCAGGGAGACGTTGGTTTCATCAACTCATTTTATGACGATGAGGCTTGGTGGGCTCTTGGCTTCATCGCCTCTTGGGAGCTTACTGGCAGGATTGAATACCTCAATGAGGCCATCTACATCTGGGATGACATGACCGCTGCCGTCGGTACGACCCCTTGCGGTGGCATCTGGTGGGATAAGGCCAAGACCTATGTCAACGCTATTGCTAACGGTAAAGTTTTATCAAATTCATTCCCGTATCTCTCAGATACCAATCTAACAAAATTCATAGAGTTATACCTTCACCTCTCCGCCGCCATTGCCAATAACGTTGGCAGTGATGTCAAGCAGAAATACGTGAATGCCGCTAGCAACCAATGGAACTGGTTCAAGGGCACCGGCATGATCAACTCTCAGAATCTCGTCAACGACGGCCTTGACTCTAATTGTAAGAACAACGGCCACCCCACATATACCTACAACCAGGGCGTTATCCTGAGTGCCCTCGCCAAGCTTTACAAGGCTACAGGCGACAGCTCCTACCTTGACCAAGCGTCCCTCATCGCCAATGCTGCCATAAGTACCCTCGTCGACTCCAACGGCATCCTTGTCGACGACTGTGACAAAAACAAGAACTGCTCTGGTGATGGTGAACAGTTCAAGGGTGTCTTCACCCGTGGTCTCCGTGATCTCTATGACCAGCGTCCCAACGCCTCTTGGAAGACGTTTATTGAAAGAAATGCTCAATCCATTTGGAACAATGATCTGGCCATTCAAAACGGCGGATGTTTTAATGGCGCTTATTGGGGTGGTCCCTACGCCACCGCCGATGCGAGCACTCAGTCTTGTGCTTTGGATACGATCGTTGCTGCTCTTGCCATTAACTAAGAACAAGCATGAACCATTATGAAGTGGGTAGTAGTAAATGATAAAAAAACGAACCTCTTATTCCAACATGTCATCATACGATGGTACAATATTTTGCTGTACATTAGCGGCCAGAGTTGTATACATCGCCTCCTCCCTAACTATAATAGTGAGCTTCGTACGAATACGTGCCCCGTCTCGTATGGTGCCGGGCACCTCTTCGTTCGCGGTGGCCGCAAGCTTTGGAGTTGGGAGCTTCGTAAACAAACAGGTGCCCACGTTGTTGATTGCGAGATGGCTCTCGTAGCCTTGGGCGGTTCTAGTCAGCTCGGTATTCTGTCTGAGCAAAACGCCGGCATTATTGAAGAGAACATCCAACCGACTCTCCCTGGCGAGAAACTCAGCGGTAGAGGCTTTGATCTTACTCAGATCGGCCAGATCCAGATATAGATACTCCAGTCCTCCCTTCGGTCCCGGATTGGCTCTTCTGATTTGCTCAATAGCTTTCAAAGACTTATCTCTGGGCCGGGCGGCAATATCTACTTTGGCGTTTTTAGAATACAATATAGTAGCTACCTCCAAGCCGACACCAGTATTAGATCCTGTCACCAGATATACCTATTGAAAGTGTCATTTGGTGCATTGCTATGTCGGCAAGGAGGTAGAGAACTTACCTTTCCTTGCAGATCCGGTACATCCTTACCTGTAAACCTAGGCTTAGGTGGGAAGAGTTGTGAGACTGTATTGCCCATGTTTATTGGTTAAGCAGTTGCACGTTGGCTCAGATAAGTCTACCTCGAAAATAAAAGCTGCCTGGGAGATATTTTACGAAAGGTAAGATATTGCATTATATATATACCTGAGAAGGGCTTCAGCATTGATTTTGTCCTTCAACGCCGCCGGGTTTCATTTGCTGGTGGGGGCTGGTAGCTAGTTACATACATTGCAGCAACTTATATGCGGCAACGTCAACTTGGAAATTGCGCTTACAAGGCCTAAGCATAAAGCCGACGGTGTTCAACCTTGTATGGCACCCTACATTTCAAAAGAGTAACATAAGCATTTTATTTGGGCACTGCGGGAGATTTCAGCGTCTGTGGGCAGCCAAGCTGCCAGGACAAGGGTGAATCTTCGCCGAGCCTCTTGGTTCAATAACGGCACATATTCCCGGCGCGTACTGCCTTTATTCAGCGAGGGTGGGTTGACCTCGCTCCAGCCCAAGGCGTCGACGAGAGTTGTCCAGGGAGTACATCGCTGGCGTCATTTGTTTGGAGCTACGGTTGGATTCGCTATTTGATATATGCAATCGGTAATTGGCTATAAGTCCCCAGAAAAGTGGTACGAATTGCTTAGTAAGCGGTTGACCTGTAAAATTTTCCCCAGCTTTAGCCTCGGGAGTTGATTTCTATACTAGGGTTTCTAATAGCTATTATACCTCTGCTATTTATTCTAATAATAAACTATATTATATCTACTTACTATATATTATTTTTATACTATTATATTAGCTTAAGTAGCTATTAAAATATTCTTAAACTATTTTAATAGATAGTTATCTTTTCTATATAAGGAGTAATTATAGATATATAAGATAAAATATACTACTTTTAATACTCTATTATTATCTTAGATTAGAACTTAAGCAGATTAAGATAAAAAAAATACTTATAATTATTATAATTAAGAGAAAGATTCTAAGGTTATATTAGTAAGTAAAAGAAGAAACTTAAGAATAATATTTTAAAGTAAGTTTATACTAAGTATTTTTATAAATATAAGGAAAATTTATTATATTAGAGATAGTAATAACTACTAAAAGTATATATTTATAGATATTATTATAATAATTAAATCTCTTTTTTTTTTTTTTTTTTTTTTTTTTTTTTAAGATTTTTACTATATATAAGAAATATCCTAAGATTAGGCTATATATAACTAGATTTATATAATTTATTTTTAACTAAGTTTTAGTTTATATCTAATCTTTAATTCTATTTTTTTTACTTTTTTATCTATATAAGCTAAGATAAAGTAATAGCTTCTTTAAAAACTCTAAGAAGAGCTTATTAAATATATAATTTAGCTATAGGCCCTAAGGAGAAATACTTATTATCTATAATTAACTATAATATCTCTTTAAGCTTATTATTATTATTACTAACTACCTCTTTTTATAACTATAATAATAGATATCTTTAATATTATTATCCCCTATAGCTAGGATCTGATTACTATAAATAATCAGATCCTGATATATATAATAGTTATTATTAATAAGAATTATTAGAATCTCTTTTTAGATATTAATTATTTAAATCTATAATTTATTATAAGTTTATTTATAATAATAAAGCTACTCTCTTTTATATAGATCTAGTAATTATATCTACTAGAACTATTACTCTATCTTCTTATAGTTAGTAATAATATAGAGATAGATCTAATTATTAATATACTTATAGAGAACTATAATAATATTCCTCTAGTACTTAATTACTATTTTAATTAGTAATATTAGATAGAAGAGAATTAAATTAAATAAATTAAATTATTAAAAAGTTTATTAGATTAAAAAGTTAAATTAAATAAGATTAATAAGATAGTATTTAGAATATAATAGATTAATTAATTATTATAATAGAATATTAATAAAGAAAAATATAATAGCTAATTATAAAGTTACTATATACTAATTAAAATACTAAATATAGTTTTATATAGTAATTATCTAACTATATTAAATTATTTACTTAATAAACTAAATATAGAATATAAATTAAAGTATTAAATAAATTAAATTCAATTTTATTTTTATATAAATTAAAAGAATCTATTATTAAGAGAAAGTAATTAGAGTTTCTAATAAAATATAGAGAGAACTTATATTATTCTATATTATTATATTTTATTTAAAAAGTAAATTATAAAATAGAAAATAATATAGTTTTTAGATTACTTTTTAGAAGAATTTAGATAAAAGAATAACTTCTATAAGCTTTAAAGCTTTATAAATAGCCTTAGAAAAAGTATAATAATACTATTATTTAGAAAACCTTTAAATAAGTAGATTTTCTTTCTCTATTTAAATCTATTCTTTATTTAATTAGCTATAATATAATATATTCTATATATAAAATAGATATAAATAGGAAGCTTATAATAAGTTATTTTTATTATAATTAAAAAAAGATTTAAAAGTACTATTTCTAAGCTAGTAAACTTATTTAGAAATCTAATTATAGCTATATAGATATAATATAAATAAGAAGATTAAAAAGGCTCTAGTAGATAGACTATCTAGAGCTCTTATAGGGGAGAACTATAAGAATAATTAGATATTAAAATAAAACTACTATATAAATTATAGCTTTTATAGTTAAGTAAAATTACAGGCTAAATTAGTATAGGAAGTAATATTTATTATCAGTAGGTTTTCTAGCTAAGTAGATCCTTATTATATCTCTACTAGATCTCTATTATATACAAACTACTGCTCTAGCTGCTTTAGAGAGCAGCAAGGCGGTCGGATGCAGTAGAGATATTGTCATCTGCGCTTCGGTTCTGGGCCACATAATATTCGAGCTTCAGCTTGCTCCGCCTACCCTGGACGAGGTCGCTGACTGTGTCTTGGGTAGTTCTCTCAGTGGCAAGATCTGGTTTCGTCAAGACTCCCATGGTGCAAATTCCATCCGTCGGCTTCTTCAGCGAGCTTCAGGATCTCGTGGGTGGCAGGATCGATATTGCAATGCATAACAGCCAGAATACTTGTTGCTTTAGTTCAATGAGTTATGGAAAGCAGTTGTTCAGTAACACATACCGTCCGAGGGTTGTCCATATACCGCCTAACTATGTTTCGAACAAGCAATATATCGCTTTCAGCCGTAGGACCTTTACTGTTAATGTTAATAACTCGCGATGTCCCCGGTACGTCGATAACGGTAAGGTGGATTTACTATCACTAGAATTAGGCCCGTCAGAAAGTGAGCAAAAGCTCGGCTTACTTCAAGTCCACTGATCTCTATCTTCAGCATATCTTCGCTAAAGGCAGGCAGTGCAGGAGAGTTGCTGATTGCACCCATGCGGATATCCATAGCGGCATTAGCCTTGTTGCATCAAGTCGGCGTCGAAGGGGTGTCCAGGGTGTCAAAAGTGCACGAGGCAAACCTCATCGAACACGTTGGCGAGATCTCCATCGTTCAGTTGACGCAGCTGCCGATGAAAAGCAGTAAAACGATCTTTATGAGGCCCCTCCGCATCCGGTCGAGGAATGACTGAGACCGAGACCTTGCTCAGAGTCTGTCGGATACAGGTGATTTGCGTAGTATATCGACTACACAAACTAGCAGCGCGGGGAAAAGAGAAACCAGTGAGCTCTTCATCACAGAACTTTTTCCTAACAATTGGTCACCAACCACGATGAGCTATAATCCATGTCAAACGTTTGCAAAAAAGATCAGTGTGGGTACCTGAGGTAATGGAATGATCGCACCGACATTTGTCTCCCGAAGCTTGTCAATCTTTGTTAGGAGGTCCTGGTTTCTCAGGGTGATTGGTTTAGTTTCCGTCATTTCAAGAGAATCGAAGAGGCTAGATAGAGGGACTGGAAGCGATGTCCCAGTTAGATGTTGTCTGGTTAGCAGCGGTTGTATGAATAGGAAATTGGACATAGCTATCCTACGACTAACCTGTGCCAAGACAAACTCTGGATTGAAACCCATGATGAGGGCGGTGTCGCAATTATGGAAACAAAATATTCTTTGTGCGGAAGTGCCATTACACTTAAGCCGTTTGCGGTTCCAGGACAAATAATTACCAAGGCAAGGATGCTCAAGGACGGATGATGGTGGACCAGATTTCGGACGAGCCCGACGGATACACAACCGTGCAAGAAGCAAAAGCTATGACGGGTCCGTTTAATTAGAAAAAGCAAGCGCTTCTTTAGTATCTCCGTCGCCGCTACTAGAAACGAAACGCTTTTGCCATGCGCAATGGTGTACAATCACCTACCTTGCTTTGTCAAATGCATATCATATCTAGGGCACTGTTTCTTGGGTTAATCTACCCAGCCGCGCAAACGACGTGGAATCAGTGTCTGCATGGCAGATCCATTACTTCGTCGCCAATTTTCATTTCATACCGTTCAATACACCCAAGAGATTTTGCTAAGGAGTGCGATACTGCTGAGCATTTTTCGCCAAAGGAGTATGGTTTATCACTCGGTCCAAGTCAGCTTGGTATTAAATCATCGCGGACTGGGCTTGCGAAAGCCACGCTCCCCAAAGCGACCCAATCCATCAACCTGCCAATGATCATGTCGACGACGGTCCGGTATAGTTTAAAGATCTATTTCCTCTCTGGCGTACTTCACATGTCTGTTCCATACCTGGCTTCGACTGTCCCTATCTGTACTCCATCAATTTCCATTGAAAACTCCATCAGAGCAGATTTCACTGTCACAACAAGATCGTATGAGAGCGTTTGGCTGGCCAACCGTTAGCTTGGCACCCATCAAGTGATAGCAGCACATACTAAGGTCTGCCTGTATAATCTATCATTTCCTTAAACTTGCGTCGATCAACGCTTCGAAGGTCAGTGATTAAGGTGCAATTATTACCAATCTTACGACCCTTGCAACGATGTCTTGGGGCTTCTCTATAAAACAAACGGTCACTGTTGGAACATTTCGCTAGATTGGGTAAAAGAACATACGTGTCTGCGCATTCAACGAGGCTCTTCTTGATGATGGTTGGTGGGCAGCCCTTGTCGAACTCCCTGGTGAATGAGAATCGTACTTTCTGATCTCGAGCAATGTCATCTCCTTTTTTGATGTACCACGTCATCTGTGATTATTATCAGCCAAAAGTTGTAAATAGTGGGAACAGCATTTTAGGAGTGCCTTTTCGACTCTAGTCGTGCCATCGCGCCCGCTCGCAATGGGTTGGCCTATGTCTGCAAAGGGATCAATAAGGCCCCAAGCCTCTACCCCGTAGTGCCTGGTGAACGACGTGGAAGTGACCGTAGCCTCTCGCTCGAGCTGACTCAGAACGGCGCCCCTGGTTACAGTAAGTAAGGTGGTTCGTTGGAAACAGGCCAAAGAGGAAGACTTACTTCGCGATAGCGCTCCAAGCATCATTTGGCTGTAGCACTTGGATATCAAGGTACCTTCTTGCCACACATGCCCTCAAGTATTGGCTGCCACCAAAACCACCAACAAGAAAAATTCCCTTCAAGGGTCAGCGAAGAAATGGTAATAGAAACAGTAGCATCTACCTTGATCGGCTGACCAGGCCTTTTGCGTTGAACAGATTTGATCTGATCGTCTATCAGCCGCAGGATATCTGTGATTAGTGGTGCATAGATTTGGCTTAGTTCCTTTCTGTCTCTCGATTAGTATAGCGCTGTTGGATAAACATCCTACTTCGAGACCTACCCGGTTATTCTCCAAGTGTTTGACTCTAAACCAAGATCTAGGTTGTCGTCTAGAGATGCCATTGGGAAGTTGATAAAAAACTCCTCGTTCGGTCTGCCTCGAAAAGCTTTCTTGACTTCTTTGTCAAATGCGTTCTCTGCCAACCAAAACCCCTTCGTTTTCTTCAAATCTTGGAACTGATCCTCGCCGACGAGGTTCTTCACGGCCTCCACAAAGCGTTGGTTCAACCCCAGGGACCCAGCCATGCCACCTTGGGATTCGCCGTGGTCAGCGCCAGATAAACATACCAGGCTCTCGCTTTGGCTTACCTGTACCGGGAACAAGCTCCTTGAGTTGAATATTTGGCGTTAGCGCTGCAATTTCGTACGAGATGCGGTCCACGGTTCCACCACCGGCATCGCAGACAATAAATGCGTCGCCCTCCTTCATAGCAAAGCCGAGTGAATGCATCGTGTATAAGGCTGCTGCTTCGGGCTCTTTGATCAAGGTCACTGGATATAGACCAGCTCGCTTTGCAGCCTGAAGATGAACGTGGTAAGCTCCTGCCGAGGGCATTTACAAGAATACTCTACTTACCTGCACTGCAGCGTACTTCGCAGTGTCGGACCAAACGGCAGGCACTGCGAAAGTTAGCTGATGAGTATAAGGCCGACAATATGAGTCAAGGACTTCTAACCAGATAAGACAAACTGCTTCTGACACATGTCCATGTACTCTGCAGGAACCTGTTTTGCAATCTCGCTTAGGGCATGCTGATATATAGCTCCAATGAAGTCGGCGGCGATATCCACTGGCGGTTTTGGGAGCTGGCTGATTTCCTGCCCAATATCTCCTACGGGGAGATACAGTGGTCGCTCTTGCTGGGGGTCGAGTAAAAGTTTTACACCAACAATAGTGTTTTCCATCCGGTTAGCCAACGCTCCCCAATTGAAGTCATCAGTCTCTGGATCATAGCAGATACGGGTGGAGATCTTTGGGACCGATTCTCCTTCGGCCCCTGGCCAGTCCAAAATACTGACAATCTTGGCATTGCGCTGGTTAAGGAAGCAATACGCAATACCCGAAAATGTATTGCCGAAGTCGAGGGCAATGACGAGCTTATCGTCTGAGTCCTGGGCTTCTAAGGACAAACTCTTCATTTGCTGAAGATAGTCGGTCAGACTTTCATTAAACCTTGGCGGAGGGTCAGGCATCTCGGGATAGATAAATCGAACCATGATATAATAAGTAACGTATAGAATGGCAACTTGTCCCTTGTCAAGGCAGAGCAGCGATGGGCTGGGACAAACATTCTTTATCATAGTCAAGCTCCTCCGATTCCAAGTCACTCTACAATATGGGGGCTGCGTCACTCGCCGGAATCGGTCGTTTATTGGTTATACTTTTAACGCCCCTCACTGTGTTGCCTTTCATCGTGTTTAAAGGCTAAAAAGCTTTTTTCATTAACGCTATCCTCTTTCGAACCCTGATCTCTTCCACGTATTTTCCTCCCTTCTTGCCGCCCTACTTGTGCTCTGGCCACGGGGCTACTGGTACTCACTGATTTGGTTGATTCGCGCTTGGTGTTGTTTGGATTGGCGTAAGACAAGTGTGAAGCCAGGTGAAGAGGGCAGCTTTCATAGTCATTCGACGCGCAGCTCGTCCTGACGGTAAGTGAGTCATCGGCATGAAGGTTTCTAGAATTTTCTGCCGTACTACAGCCTTGGGCTAGCGAACCTTTTTTTATTAACCTTTGGTATTCATTGTGTTGAGTTGTCAGGTCTGGTTTCTTCTATTGTTTAACTTTCTGCTCAAACTCTCTTCCGTATAGTTTTGACGCACGCCAGGCCAAGGAGCCGCAAACAGTCGTATATGCGAAATAGCAATTTTCTTAAAGGTAAAATCACGTATGTAGTGACGAAAGCTATTTCCTTTGCGCAATAAGTTTTGTGGCAGTCGATTCATGGTTAGGTGGCCCTGGGCATTGATTTGCATAACCTTATAATCGATCTTGCTGATAAAACCCCATTCAATTCATTGTGGTCGTTTCACGGTTGACCATGGTGGCTATTCAAAGGGATACCACGATGTCTAAGGCCCAAGCTCTCGCAGAACCTTCCAGAGACAATTGTGCCCCAGGAACTGCTTTGATTGATACTGAGGCGCAGGTAGTCTGTCATAATCGCAGGGGTATCGTTTCCGGGGTGCATATGATATTTGGAACTATCGATAAAGTTCGTCAGATCATCAGTACCCTTTTTGGATCCCGCGCAGTCCCAGTATCAGGCGTGAGTCCTCATGTTGCAGTTACAATTCGGTAGTGCTAACGGATATAGAGCGTATCTGGGTCTTGCCAACGCCAACTTTGCCAGCAACTTCAACGAGATGCCGAGCACTGGCATGCAGAACACGATAAAAGTGTTCAAAACAGAAAAGCCTTGGCCGATGATATTAAAAAAAAGGAGAACCAAATTCGGGAGGCTCACAGTCAACTGGATAGATTGATCCAGCAAAATGAATTCCTCACCAAGGAACTGGTGAAGAGAGACAATGATCTTCGCAAGACTCACATGCAGCTGTCAACGGCTAAAGAGAAGGGGACCAAGCTGCGGGCCATCCTCTTGGAAAAGACCAATTTTGATAGGGTAAGCGATCACGAAATCAAGGATAAGTTCTTGTCCATCCGTCAGAAAGCTCAGGCGATATCTCGTTCTTCTACCTACGATCTGAGCATGTTAGATCCCGCAATTTGGGGCCACCTGACAGTCCAAGACCGTAAGAATATAATCATGTCGGGCATCTTTGACTTACTTCAATGCTACATTCTTAACAGCAGAGTGTTCTGTCAATATCAGCTCTTATACGATCAGCCTGACCCAAACCCAAGATACGACATTGAAGTGGCATTGAGCGATATTGAGACAATACTTGAACATAATCACGGTAAGTCTTCTATCCGTCGAGGTCATTGTGACGGGGAATTGCGAATTGATTGCCTCTAGTCGATGAAACACTAATCGTCAATTGGCGGATCGCCACCATGGACTGCCTATCCGAGCTCATTGGTTCATCCCCAAGGCACAAAATAGTCGCACATGAGATTTTCGCAGACTTCGCCCTTCTCATATCCCCCAAATCAGGAACCAGAGAGCAGAATGAACTTAGAGAGCAGTTCCAAACTATCTGCGACGAGGCATGGGAGGTGGCAATGATTATGAGAAGGTCTCGGGAAGGGCATAAATGCTTTGTACCTCCTACAGGAACAACGAAGTGTTTGTTCAACGCCTATGAGTCACTGGTAGAACCAATCACCGTCGAGGGAGGGAAGAATGAGGATGGGTCGGACGAGATTGCTTATTCCCTGTTTGGGGCTCTGGTGAAGGGTGCCCAATGTCATTGGGAAGCAACGGGGGAGGGGGTCTTAGAGAAGGCCCAGGTGGTTCTAAAGAGGCGAGAACATGCATTCGCGTGTGTTCCGTCCAGCGACCACGAAGCTGCTTAGGTTCCGTGAAGAGCACAGGCCACGCTGAGTTGCTAGTTGCGTGCACTTATGTACTGTTGGGCTTTACATGAGTTGTCGCGGACACAAATTCGACTTCAATGTACGAATTTTGACAAAATTCTAATTGAAAGATTAAGATTTCGTGACAGAATAAAAAGCTCAGAAAATCGGTGTACAAGGATACGGAGGGGAAATGGTGAATCATAGCGAGTAAGGTCGGGAGTGGTTTCTCACCAACGGCGTGTTCTGAACGTGCTGCAGAATTAAGGAAATAACTATCCCGTAACTCTGAGACCGGATCGGATGGAGAGTTAATCTTAGGGGTTATCTGAAGGAAAGGTCTTTTTCCTAAAGGTCAGGATGATCCATGGATTAAAACAGACAGCGTCCTATTATCTGAGCTAAATTAATAAAATAGAAAATTGCTTTCTAAACTATAGATAAAACTAGTAATAAGTTATTCTTGTTTATAATCTAACTAATCCTTATAAATTCTACAATACCTCGGTTCCAATAAGAGTTATCCAGAAGAACATCGCTGGCGTCATTTGTTTGGAGCTAGCTACGTTGGATTCGCCATTTGATATATGCACTCAGTGATTGGCTACAAGTCCCTAGAAAAGTGGCACACGCTGCTTAATAAGCAATTGACCTGTAAAATTTTCCCCAGCTTTAGCCTCGGGAGTCGACTTCTGTGCGACATCGGACACATGAGTAAAGGATCAAGGGAAAGGTTCTGTAGAGATTTCCTTGTGGGAAGCTGCCGTGACGTACTGCGACATAACCAGCCCCTTCTCCAAGGCTCGAGTGTGCATGGTATTGCGAGCCGTTCAATTGCCCCCCTCATCATGTTGGCGTCTCAGTATTCAAAGAGGCTGCTGACCAGTAGCGTGGCTATTGCATGTGCCCTCTCTCCTTTCAATCCGCCTGGATAAGTGCTGACATCTTGACCAGGCCACGGTACGGCAACATTCATTTCGGGCAGCAGGCCTCACGCGCCGGATACCTACTCTCCCCTCAGGAGCCCGGTACATCTCCAAGTCGCGTACTTCGCACGCTGAGATTCAGGGGTTTCACTCCCAGCTCAATGATCCCGCCGTTGCCTCCGTCCTGAGTTCCTTGGGGGCCTCGCCCACAGTCCCCCAGACACTGACGGAGAAGATTGTACAGCAGCATAGTGTTGGTCTCGCAGAAGGAAAGTTTGTCAAGTCTGGAGACTATGTCACCATACGGTAAATTACACATGCACCAAGCGTCTACGCTACGGTTCACACTTGCTGACAGATAGCTCAAGGCCACACAAGTGCATGACCCATGATAAGTTGGTTCTACGTCCTTCTCAACATAAATGAACGCAGCACTGATTACATCCAGCACCTGGCCTGTGGCGACCAAATTCCTCTCCATCGGTGCCACGCGGATCAAGGACCCAAGCCAAATTGTTATGACCTTGGACCACGACATCTCTAACAAATCGGAAACCAACCTCCGGTCAGTGATACAAAAGACTTAGATAAAGATGTGAACTAACTGATAATTTAGAAAGTATAAAAACATTGAAGAGTTTGCAAAGAAGCACGGCGTCGATTTCCACCCTGCAGGCAAGGGTATTGGGCATCAGGTAAGGGACTGCAGCGGCGTTTTCTTGTATGATTGAAACCCAACGCCTAATTCCTAATAGATCATGATCGAGGAAGGCTACGCTTGGCCAGGTACACTTGTCGTCGCCTCCGACTCCCACTCAAATGTAAGGCACATTGCGGACCCCCCTTTTATGCTGAGCTGATGAATGTGCCAGGTATATGGAGCCTTGGGCGTTCTTGGGTGAGTACAACTCCAAATGATCAAGTCAAGACCCTCGCCTCTGACAATTAATGCATTCAAGCACGCCTGTCGTGAGAACGGATGGAGCCAGTTTATGGACGACGACGCAGACATGGTGGAACATTCCGCCAGTGGCCAAAGTCCATTTTCAAGGTCGCCTCCAACCTGGAGTTCAAGGCAAGGATGTGATCGTGGCGCTCTGCGGATTATTCAACAAAGACGAAGTCTTGAACCATGCCATTGAGTTCACAGGCTCGGAGGAGACGATGAGGAGCCTTTCCGTCGACGACCGCTTGACAATCTGTACGTTGGTGCCACGCTTGTACGCATTGGTGAGGACATGAATCATTGACACGTGTTTAGCCAACATGACCACGGAATGGGGTGCGCTTTCAGGGATATTCCCGATAGACGACATGTTACAGGGTTGGCTCCGTGCCAAGGCGACAGAGTACGCGATGTACGAGTCCAATGCAGATCAACGGGGCTCAGCATCTCCCCCAGCATTGAGGATCAATCACCAGCGAATCGACCAACTCTTTGAGAACCCTCTACGCGCTGACAAGGATGCAAAGTACGCGAAGTACTTGACGCTCAACCTTGACACGGTCCCAAGCTACGTAGCCGGCCCAGATTCGGTCAAGGTAGCCACGCCATTGGCCGAGTTGCAGGCACAAGATATCGCCATCCAGCGCGCCTACCTTGTCTCTTGCACCAACTCCCGAAGCTCGGATCTCCAGGCCGCGGCGAACGTCATCAGAGAGAAGACTGCGGCCAACGGAGGAGTCGTCCCAAAAGTTCCAGACAGTGTGGAATTCTACATGGCAGCAGCGTCGCTCCGAGAGCAGCGGGCGGCTGAGGAGCAAGGAGACTGGCAGCTTCTCCTTGATGCGGGTGCGCGACCTCTCCCTTCTGGCTGTGGTCCCTGTATTGGCCTGGGACCTGGATTGCTCGAGCCTGGGATGACTGGTATTTCCGCGTCGAATCGTAATTTCAAGGTTCGTCGACACAACTTGACACAATTGATTGACATGACCACGTACTGACACCTTGGGCTAGGGTCGCATGGGATCTCGTGACGCAAAGGCTTATCTGGCCAGCCCCGCCGTCGTAACCTCCTCGGCTCTCGCTGGCTTCATCACTGGCCCAGGCGTGGACACACAGCCCGCGGACTGGGCCGGCGTCGAACACTCAGAAGGCGAGCCCTTTGCAGAGAAGAGCGTGGACGAGACGCTCGAGTCGTTGATCGGCAAGCTAGATGGTATCATTGAGGCTGGGGCTGCCGACCAGGCGGATGGAGCAGAGTCGAGTAAAAAGGAGCAACTGACGGACATCCTGCCCGGCTTCCCCGAGAAGATTTCAGGCCAGATCACCTTCTGCGGCGCTGACAACATCTCGTGAGTTTAGACGGAACCGACGCATTTCTAAAAGACCGTCTTGAGCTAACTATGATGCAAAGAACGGATGGAGTCTATCCCGGGAAATACACAGTAAGAATTACCTGCAGAGTTTGCGATGCTGGTGGCTAACATAAAACAGTACCGGGACGACGTGTCTCCAGAGGAGATGGCCGAGGTTTGCATGAGCAATTACGACACCGCCTTCAACAACATCGCAAAGTCCGGAGATATTCTCGTCACAGGCTATAGCTTTGGATGCGGTAGTTCAAGAGAACAAGGTAAATCTTTATAATCTATAGATAAACTTATTCTAAATTATTAACAAGTCTTTATAAGCTGCGACGTCGATCCTGGCGAAGGGGATCAACCTGGTGGTTGGCGGATCCTTCAGCGCGACCTACGCGCGGAACAGCATCAACAACGCCCTCATGCTTCTCGAAGTACCGAAGCTCGTTAGCCGGCTCCGGGAGGCGTTTGGCGAGTCGGCAGATGCAAAGGTTCTCACGAGACGGACCGGGTGGACGCTGGAGTGGGATGTCCGCAGAAGCAAGGTCAACGTCACGGAGGCGGACGGGACGACCTGGAGCGAGCCCGTTGGAGAACTCCCGCCAAACGTGCAGGAGATCATTGCTGTCGGCGGGTTGGAGAAGTGGGTGAAGAGCAAAATTGAGAATTAGACGTCCGGGAGGAGATTTTGGACAGTTACGCAATCTGGCGGCGCCCAGGGACACGATATAGATGATTAATACAGACAACCACCTGTCACACAGCTTCACAACGATGGACACTTGAAAGGTGGTACCCAGCGCTTGATCGTGCAGAGGTATTTTTGTTAATAGGATTGTCCTTGATAAAATTCAAGCTCCTTCGGTCCATATTGGCTTTTGTTTCTTCATTGCCGCATTTGCGCCTCCATACTTGGAAGACAGGTCAGGTTAATGAAAGTAATGCCTCGTGAGACAGCAGATTAAAGGTGGTTGTGAGACCAACCTCTACGATGACCAAAACAACATAATACAGCAGTATAAAACGATATGAAATGAGAATTTCTTAGCCCTAACCAATTGGACAATGGTAATCACAGATCCAAGAAAGGCAAGCAGTGTGATGCTTGAGGGTTCAAATTCAATGTCCCAACTGCTAGGCTGCTAATCTGCGCAGAGCAAATATCACGTGCTCACGCGTCAACCCCCCACCAAGTCGCGGCCAAAATATGCGCCATCTTAAATCAAGCCTTGCCTATGACACCGCCCAACCATCGCCATGGCCACACTATGCCTCAAACCGCGTCGATCTCCGTATAGCACCAATGGTTCGCAGCAGACGTTCTTTCTGCACCCAGGATACCCCGACGGCCATAATATCCTCTTCGTCTTTCCCACGGTTGACAGCGGCGGGATCCACCACGAGACAGCACGTATCGCCTGTGCCATACTCGCCAACTCCCGCTGGGATGGATTTCTCACTACAACCAGAGATGGAGAGGCAATAAACCAGGGAAGGGATGAGATCCTTGTCAACCAGCGGTACTACTTTCGGATCCAAGATGGTTTGTCCCTTCTCGATTTCTCTAGTGGAACGCACTAAGATGAGCCGCAGACGAGCAGTACCCCATCATACCGTCTTTCAACAACTTCCTCTGCCCTACCACCTTGCCCGACTCATGGGCCGCCAGCTCTCCCCTCATTGAACCAACCACAATGGACGACGTAAGAAATCGAGACCAGACATGCCGCATTACTGCTTCCCTAGTCCCCAACGGAATCGCACACATCATCCCCCAGGCACAGAGCGAGTGGTGGCAAAGTAACAGCATGATCGCCTACACTGCCAATCCAGAGCTCTCCACCGATACACGCTGCGCCGAGAACGCGATCCTCCTTCGCCGTGACCTTCATAAGCTGTGGGACGACCACCGGTTCGCCATCGTGCCAAAGGCGGGCAAATGGGTGATCCACGTGCTTTGGAAGAGCCCGTCGGAGGAGCTGGAGAAAAAATACCACAACCTAGAGCTGCAGCCGCTGTCCGGTGTGGCGAGACACTTTCTCTTTTGCCGGTTCGCGCTGGCGATCTTGTCCAAGAGCATCTTCCTCAACCAGAACGTCACACGGAAGCTGGTAACGCTCGATAGCGAGGCCACACCTCACGTACGATCCATGTCAGCGAACGAATACCGGAGGTTGTTTTCTCCAGCGAGAAGAGCAAACAGCCGAAGTCAGAGTCCCCAGAAGCGTCAGCGGTCAGCGCAAGACAATGATGAGGCCATGGACGAAGAAGGGCCGGTGTCAGGGAGTGACTCAGGAGAGGAAGAGCAACGTGGGCGTCGCCGGCGGAGGAGTTGGCTGTATGTCGATACGTTCAGCTCTCATGACGCGCCTGAATGGCACCCAGGACGGGACAAATATGCGGACAGGAAGCGGCAGAAGCTGCACACACCGCCAAAATCTAATAGTCTAGGAATATATTAATATTTAATAATCGTAGAGAGGCTCTCGAAGTCTCATGGTCGGCCGCAGATGGCATTGCTAACTCATCGAGTTCTATGCTGGAGATGGAACACAAACGCGCACTCCGCCACCCATTTCATTACACCAACAATGCTATGGATCATGGCTATGGCAAGTTCTTTCATATGTAGTTTCTTTTTACCGGTTTGTTCATCGTTGCTATATACCTCTTCACGTAGGCCAAAACGCCACTACCACCTAGGCAACTGTTGTGTTCCATCGAGTCTCCAGTGTTGCAGCACCAATGCAACCAGCGAAACCAGCCTCTTCACTTCCTTGACCTCTTCCCACGCATGTATAACTTCCTTTACACTTATACTACTACTGGAACGTGTTAACACTTGTAGATACTAAAAAGAATCACCACGGAACGACCTCAGATCACAATTGCACCATTACCAGATATACAAGAACCTTCAGGGAAGGCGGTAAGTACTGGATGTTGAGTGCTCATCACAGGTCAAGTGAGAAAAGAACAGGTATTACACTTGAGAGAAAAGAAAAGAGAAAGAAGTAGAGGGGCCAAGACATGTATTTTATAGGTACAGGTAGGCAGGCACCTGACCTGAAAGAAAGCTACGGTGCTTTTCGGGTAGTTTATACTTTTATTACATGCTGTGACATCGGCTAGCATGTCTGTGCTTGGGCAGGCTGCATAGAAGAAGCTTCATGAAGCAGGCCCGAAGTCAAAGCTAGAGCTAGACAAGGCAATATACATCCTACTAGCTCTAGGTATACGCCTCGCGACGAGAACCTTCTCGTTGATACACTTGCCCCCAAGCAGAGTCTTGTCCAAGCTCTGAGCTTGGGGCATGCACGACAGGTTCTTGATGAACTTGATGGCGACGTAGTAGGTCAAGTTGACCCAATACATGATGTAGCACATCCACTAAAAGGCACTTTTTGTGCCCTTATGCTCCAAGATGGCCATCCACTCGAGGAGCACCCTCATCTTGAGTCACATCAGGCAGGACTTTTGGAAGCTCATCCCTAGGTATACACTCTTGCAGCCATCTCAGTGGCGCAAAGTGCCTAAATAAATAACATAACATTCCCAGGAATACCAATAAAGCCTTGCAAGCTGCACATCTAACCAGAAACCCGGGCCAGGCATTCATTCCGTACATGTCCCAATCGTAGGCGACGAAAAGCACCTTAGACAGTGTATCAGCAGCTAATCACCACGATTCCCCACGTACTCAAGCTAGGATACATGGCGGCGGCATTCAAATTCGCGGCCTAGAAGACCTGAAGAGTTTCGAGGACAGGATGACATATACGCGCGCAGAGTTCTAGATGTACCATCTACGAGTGTCGCCTGCTCTATCACCAGCAGTCTCGCATATGCTCGGGGCAGGATGGCTACCTACGATAGAGCAAAACTGACCGTCACGACTATTGTAGTAACTCAGTTCAATTCTCCAAGATCGTAAATTTGGGAGCGACACCGGCTGGGAGGGGAGAATACGCTCCGTTGTGCCAGTTCTCCCTCGCCGAGATTATCGGTGGATTGGACATAGATCTCTAAGTCCTCGATTTTCTCCCTCTTTTCCTCTCCTTCTTCGTCTTTCCTTCCTATGCAAAAGGTAGCCAACCCTACGTGACGGGGAGGAGATAAAATAGACAGGAACTGAAATACATGATGGGCGAGTTACCTTCATTTCAGGGAACAGCGACGTAGGCTGGCAGCGGTTTAACACTCAGTTTGGTGCGTCAACCAAAGCTCTTCCTGCCAACGGTCAATCTGATCATCCCCAGCAATCGCTTTCTCTTCAATTCCCACATTTGTATTTGCTTTCCTTGGGGAGCCCCAGCTCTTGCATGTCTGTAGAAAGGCAGGCACTTCACGTTCCCGTTTGTGAACCCTGTATCTAAAATTCACCGATGAGCACCGCACCTCAAAAGCCAGCACTTCCGCGATCTCGGCCGGCCGTCCAGACTCCCAAAAAGGCCACATGTGGTCTCTGATAAAGCTTTTGAGAAGCTCGACTACTTCCTCTGTTGTAGCGCGCTGCAATGTTTCCCAACGAGGTTCATCATCGCCATACCAGCGACATGACATATGCACGTGCGACAAGTTACGCAGCCCCATATCCCTCACGAGTTTAATGGTTTCAAGCCATTCTCCCTTCGCTTTTTCTCGTACCTCCTCTTGTATGAGGGCCAAGGAGCCAAATTCAAGGCGGGTAAGGTAGGGCAGTGTCGTCGGGGCAATTCTCTCAGAGAAAAACTGGGTGGCCGCATATCGGGTAGGATATACCGACGGCGCTCCCGGCTTCCAAGGCTTGAACATTTGGGAGGTGTCCAGGTATACTTCGATCACATTATTCCTCCAAAAGATTTCCCTCGCCTTGTCATAGAATGACCTATTCACGAGAAACAGCGGTCCAGGCGAGTGCCAGTCTTCTTGCGGTTCGTCGAGCGGGTGTAGAGTAAATCTGTCTTTGGTGTTCCACCTATAGCGCGAGGTAGGAGAGATCAATGATGTATATTCAAGAATGTTGATCTGTATTTCGACAGCGAGGCGGCAGAATTGAAATGGAGCGATGTGCCCATGTGCAGTTGCTGATGGTGCCATGACCTCACAATTATAAATCTACACCGTCGCCTAGCGGTTATGAGGCAAAGCTGAAAAAGAGAAGATGTTGGTTGGGCGCAGCTTCCAGCTTTGCCTATTTAAATAACAGTAGGTCACTCCACATATCGACGGTTATTGGCTGCTGGATTTTGAAATAATCAGCGATTGGTTGATTGAAAATAGACCTCGGGTCGTCCCATAACTCCCGTGTTCGATGATGTTATCGTGAGCTTGCGAGGAAGGCGTTTCGTGGTATGGCGAGGAAGTATGCCTTATGCGCGCGTATGTTATGGACCTTATGAATACAATTAATAGCTGCAGCCTCGAGCAGCCTCAGACAAGTAATTTCAATCCTATCCGCCGTGATACCTATGAATACGATCAACAGCCGTAGCCTCGGGCTGCTTCGAGCAGGTTAGTCAGATCCTGTTTGCCGCGATGATGATAAATACGATCAACAGCTGCTGCTCCTACTCATACTAGAACTAGCCCTAGCCCACTCAAACCCCGGCTTCGTCAGCTTTGCCTACACCTATGATGGCCTGCCAGCATCAAAAACGGTCTTGTTCTTTCTCCAAGGTTCGGTATCGCCAAGGCAGAGCCTTTTTGGAAATCAATAAATACAAGGACCACTAGACAGAATTAATCACGCCCCCCGTTTTTAGGACCTCTCTCGCTCATAATCTTCGCTGTGCTTGTGAAACAGCGGTACTCGAATCTTTTCTCTGTAACAAAGCTAGGAGAGTTATGGTTAGTACTAATTCTATTGGCAATCGTGTGAGAGGCATACTTGATGTAGCAGTGAGGCCAGTCCTTTAGCTCTTCAGGGCTGGCATCTCTCCTCAACGTTTGTAATGCTTTATCCTGGCGAGCCTTAGGCACAGTTTTGCCTTCGAAAGTAAAAGGCATCTTCTTATGCGTATAAACCTCAAGGGTGAATATAGGAACTGATAAAGTAGACAGGATTATTCATTTTACCAAAGAAGAAAGAAGAGAAATGGGAATATATAATTACTAGTTCTTTATATAGAGCTATACTTAGGGATATACCCAATCTTATTTTAGATTTTACTTCCCTTCCATTGCTAGGGTAGCGAGAAATAATTGAGCTTGCCTTGCTAGGTAGGGTAGTGAGAAAACAATTACTCGATTTATACAGTGTGTATGACGTAAATCACGTGTGGCCTGATCTTGGGATATGCCTTGCTACGGCAAATCTCTCACGAAGGAAGCATTTCTCTTTTTCTGCTTTGCCTAATGAGGCCGCGAAGTGAAGGAGGCACTTTGAGATGGGTGTGATACAGGGTAGGCAGCAACTTACTAAGAATTGAACAGTGTTGATCATGACTCAGCATGTGGCTATTTTTGGAACAAAGCCAACGATCCAATCATCAATGCATCAAGTTGAGCCATTCCTCCCGACATTGTCGTTCTCCTTGGGTTCAACGACGTACTAGCGGCAAGGAATTAAATCGACATCATGACGATGAATATCTTGAGTCTCCCGCCGGAGCTGGTGACGCGTATCTTTGATGAATTTGCCAGCTCTGCTGAAGTAAAACGTGTCATGAGACGCCGTGTTGTTAGTCACCAATTCAAACGCTTCATCGACGACGCCATCTTCCGCCTTTGCCTTCTAGATGGACACAAGAATAGAAGTGAAGCCGTCAGCTACGTGGATCGGTATTTACCACAGCCCGAGGGCGACTTTATTGCCGATTATTTCGCGTACCAGGCGTCAATGGCAAAGGAGCCGACATCAATCATCGGTCGCATCTGGCGTGCGGCCGAGGTTGTGTCAGAAAGAGCTGGAGACGCGGGGAAGGAGTCTGCACACGCACGCTTGAAATCCCTCTGCCTCCTCTCTCTGAAGGATTTATCCTTGGTGGATAAATTATTCAAAGCCCGGCGCAGGTCACGCCCAACCGAATGTTCGGCCGCATCTCTGGCCGCAGATGATCGCGTTGCGGCTGTCTACCTGGGCGACGAGGCTTATATCCAGACGCTGGTCGCGCAGGGTGCCGAATTCTGTGATTGGGGGAGATGTGGTCGATGTGAAGAGCGATATCTTTGGTTCTGCTTTTGATGCCGCGGCTCTTACTGGCGACGTGCCCATAATCCGACTTCTGCTCTCATCTAACCGTCATTATAACCCGCCGGGATCTATCATGCCATCTAATCTTCAGCGTTGGATCCTCAACCGAGCCTCTGATGGTGGCTTTGCGAGTGCCTTCGACTTCGCTCTCGATTGTGGGCCGTCTCTGGATTTGGAAGCAGGTGAGAAGAGAGAGCTCTCGGGGCCTGGATTTGACTGTCTCAAGAGGGCCATCGCCAAAACGCCGATTGTCGAGAACTATAAACGAGGCGCGGGCATGTTTCCGCCGGACAGCAAAGTCTTCGATAAGAAGGGCTTTGGTGACCTAGATTCGCGGCTGACCCGATCAGCAGGCCTTGGGTTTGTGGACAAGATGAACTACTTTCTCGGCCTTGGCGCTTCGCCCGACGGAGAATGCGAAGAAGACCATTCAAATTTTAAGCCTCTTTCGTGGGGTATCCCCAGCGGCAACCCTGAGGTTGTCAGGATCCTTCTCGCACATGGCGCCGACCCAAATCGTTCCTCACCTGGTGGGACGCCACTGATGAGGGCCGCACGTGGATCTTCCATCCCCATTGCCAAGATGCTGATCGAGGCTGGTGCGCGAGTGAACGAAGGTTCACCGCCCCCAATCGTCGTGGCTGTGTTTATGGAGGACATGGAGATGTTCAACCTTTTGCGGCGTCACGGCGCGAGGCTGGACACACCTAAGACTAGCAACTAGGCCATGGCCGTCGCTCGGTTTTACCAACTTGATTGTATGGTCAGGATGCTCGAGCAGGAGGGCGTTGAAAAGGACGTTGTCCTGCATCGGTGTGCAAATACTCAGGAGAGCTATGACTACGACTATATTTTTCCGGCGCCGATTCATCTAGAATGGGAAGATGACCCAGAAGTTGCAGTATTGCTGGGAGCGCTCGAAGCAGAATCAGAAGAAGAATAGCGGTACTATTGGTAAAGGGCTCATATAAATAGAGCCTCGTTTAACATACCTTAAGCACAACACATTAGTTTGGGGTAAGATGTTGCGTACTTGATCAGAGGAGAACATGTCATAATGATAGAACGAATATCATGAAACTAAATCACGATCCTGAGCATATAGGGTGTGGTAACATCTCAGAATTATCCTAAGCATTATGTTCTGTATTCGTACAGCCCCCCGCAAGACGATATTGCCTCATCTTTCTGTACGCGTCAGGCTCCGGACGTTCCAGGATGGTCAGAAGATGATGAGGGCTATCTCCATCGATCCCACTGGTCCCTTTGTGAATGGTCGCCGTGACAGACTTAATCTTTGCATTTCCGAACTCATCCTTGTTCTCCTTGAGCATCTTATTGTAACCGCCGAGGAAGGGGTTGTCATTAATCTCATCCCATCCCTTCTTATCAGGCTTGAATATGGCTGATACAGCTCCTTCGTAGTTTTTGTCCTGTGCAGCGAACGCCTTATACATCGACTGCTTTACTTCTTTTATTGATGATGTTGCTGTCGCCCAAGCCCTTGAGCTTATCAAGTGAGCCACCGGCCTTTTTCCAGCCATCTTTTATCATGTTCCGTCGGTTTGTGCCTTCCGGAAGGTTTTGGTCCTTTGTCTCAACCCATTTGGTGTTGAAAACCCCACCTTGGTCCGTCACTGATGTTTGGTACTGCATAATGGGCTTCTCCCCATACGTCTCTTTCCCCTTACCCGCAGGATTGACACTCCACTGCTTCCATTGCTTATCCAATCTGTGGAACGGGCCTTCACTGCCTAATTGGTCCTTGTACTCAGACCGGCTTAAGCCAATGGCGTTGAGTGCAGGATCGGGCCTTTCCTCTCGGGCAGGATTCGTGGTAGTTTTCTGCTCTTCCGTGGGTTTCTCTTCGGTCTTCGGCCTCTTGTGGATGCTCTCGGGGCTCTCGCTCCTAGGAGCCTTCCTCTTACCACTATTCCCGCCTCTACTACCACCGCAATCTGATGATCCAGCGTCTGAGCCATTGCGCCTTCGCAGGGAGCAGCTCTTCACCTCGCCGCCAGCCTTAACAGAGGCCTTCTCCTTGGTATTGGTGGAAGTGGGGGCCGAGGACGTCTTGATAGCCTTCCTGGTACCAGGTTTCTTGTTATCGGCTTTCTTGGCACTATTCTTCTTGTTACCAGCCGTCTTCTTGTTGCCCGTATTCTTGCGAGCAGCTGTATTTTTGTTGCCAGCCTTCTTGTTGCTTGTGATCTTTTTGCTGCCTGGGACCTTTTTGCGAGCAGCTACATTCTTGTTACTAAATAATTAGTACTGCAAGCTGGAACGGATCCCTTGCAATTCTCTAATCAAAACTCGCGTCCTTGTGGTTTTGTCGGTTCCCCGCGAGATGTCCTGGCTCATACCATGTGTTGAGGGGTGCTGGGCGATCCTCATCATCCTTCAGATCGCCCCAAATGTCCGGCCACCAGCAAGTTGACTGTCGCAGCCTCTCTGTCTCTGCTCTGCCATTGGAGAACTTGTTGCTGCCAGGTTGATGAATTACCACGCGGGTGGGCCAGAGCTCAAGCTCAGATCAATTGCCGTGCGCTCTCATCTTCAACACCAACACTCATCTCGGACGAAACGGGCGAAATGGCCCATGTAATCCCAATGGCGATGCGGCGTGATGAAGACCGAAGGGGAATGCCAGCTTTCAGGCTTGCCTTTGTTGCCCCTGCCTCAGATTTCGTCTGCTTTACCTCAAAAGGGAGTGGTCAAAGGTGTTCAGCAAAGTGGCAGATTAGAGGAGCATGGCAATGAGTCCAATCAATCCCCCATGCAGCTCGCCTGTACCAACAGGACGCGCAGACTTATTTCGATGATCGGTCCATGCCCGCATTCAACACCGAGCAAGAGGTAAGCTGCTCGCATGCTCACAATCCAGTCGTGTTGATCATCGAGGGCTGGAGGTGTTGACGCAATGCCGTCACAGGCAGGATTAGCCTGTGTTGGAAAGCTGGCAGGTGGATGAGCTCACCTCAATAAAATCCATCGAGTCATTGCCAGAGGCATTTTGGGTTCCCTGATCCTCAATGTCTATATGAATGGTGCAAGACCCTGGTGTTGGTGGCGAGATGGGATAACATGGACCTACATCACTCATCATCCATACAAGATGCAGCCTGCTGACGATGAGGGCTTCGTAATTGCAGACCGTGCCCGAGCTCGCTGTTCAGAGCTATAAGCACATGATAATCCATCAAGAGATGCAGCTAAATAATTATTACTAGGTTTGATTACATTGAAGAATTCGGTTATATACTTTTTGGCTCTTGGCCCCCATCCTGAACCCAACTCTTCGCTTGAAAGTTCTTCGCCAATCTGCACTATTCGAGAGAGAAAACCTGACTCCAACCATAAAAAACAAACAATATTCGCTTCCAACGTAGAGTTGCCCCGCAATCTCCCAATAACAGTTCTGTTCCAATCTGGTATCTCCAAAGTCCACGGCACCTTACAGCCAATACGAACACACAAAGGTATATCCAACGACCTCCACTTGCTCGACCCGACACAGACAGCCCTTGTCTGCGTGACAAAATGCTCAAAAAGAAAATGTGTAAGGATAGAAATCACCCAGCGCTTTTAACGATATTGGGACCAGCACGCCTTGAAAATCTTCATCTCCGCCGCCTGTCATGTTCCATCCTAGCTCTATTGGCCTGTTCTCCATGATTATGTCCTTGCATCCAGGGGCCAATGGCCGCTGAGGTCGTTTGGGATAATCTTCAATGTTTCGTACGATGAATGAAGCCTATGAACCAGGACGCCACCACACCAAGGAACTAAATATGCACCAACAACAGCTCCCTTCATAAACTGTAAATCAACTAGATTGATGCCGCTTTGAAGACCTGAAATGGGTGAATAAAAGGATAGATAAGATCGAATGCTCGGTTGCCCGATAGAGATGTTTCTTCCAATTGCGCCGAGAAAATCAGAGGAAAATAAACCGCAGTGCTAAAGAGTGAGGTAAAAGGGAAAATATGATTAAAAGGATTAAGACGAGAGGAAAGTGGGTATAGACCATGCCGTGAAGTGGCATCGTCGTATGTAACGAATGTATAATGAGGGTACAGGGAGTGACCAACACTCCCAGACTTCTCTTGGAGAGCTTGTTCTCGGTTGTCTCCACTACCGAGGCGGGCCGTCGCTCAGCTTACGGCCACCTGTTGCCCAACCAGTTTCAATGTGGCGGGGTTGTATAGGGATCCACTGGCCAGTTCTAGGGTCCTGTTCATGAGGTTGCCCAGGCTGGCCATGGAGCATCGGGGGTGGGCCATCGATGTGTGTTCGCAAAGGCGGCAGTCGCTCTCCTCCGCCTGCCGATGACGATGCCGCCGAATGGGGTCGAGATGGAGCACCAAATCCTGGACCAAGATTCGGGACCTGCCCAAGGGGGGTTCCAGGGGCACCAACAAGCGATGCCAGAGAGTTTTCAGAGCCGTCATCGATCCTTTGACGCCGGGCTGGCCTTTCATTAGACGAGGCTTCACTGCTGTATTCTCTGATGTTTCGGGCACTGTGGCGAGGGCTGTACGATCCCACCCGTGCCGGCGTTAACGTGGGGCTAGGTGCCGATGCGGCGTGTTCAGCGATCGAGGGTGTTCGAGCGACGACCTCGCGCAGCCGGTTTCGTTCCCTTCTGTAAAAGTCTCGCTGGGCTGTCAACTCTTCGATCTTCAGCTCCATATCTTCCCTGCTCTCTTTGAGATCTTGAAGCTGCCTGGCGTTCTCTTCCTGGATCGCCTTTCTCTTCCGGCGGTGGCGAGTCGACGCCTTTGCGTTCCGTTGTCTCTTCTCGTCTGCCTTCTTCGATGCCTGCGAGTAATCTACGTGGATCGGAATTGGGGCGTCGCTACCAGGAAGAGATATGAATGCTTGCTGGCCATCACCTGCCATTATCTGCGCCCCTAGACTTGATCGACGCATTGATTCGGGCCAGGTAGGCTCGTCAAGAGGTGGGCCAGTGACAGCTGAAGCGGAGAATGATCGTCCTCCATAGGGACCTGGCTGAAAATGGGCGTGGGCAGGAGAAGGTTGGGGATAGCCGTGTGCGTCTCTCGATGGAGCGTCTAGGGCGTCTCCGGAAGGAGGCTGGTGAGGTCCCCCCTGTGGTTGAGCCATTGGTTGCGAATATGACCGGGAAATCGCGGCGGCAGCAGGTAGATTTGGTGTATGCGGAACACTTGACGGGTGACTCCGATTTGGGACATGCGGTCTGTAATCTTCTGGACCATCATCCTCTCGGCGACGCTTCGCAGGAGAAATGCTGGGAGCCAGGCCATGCGCTCTTGGATCCGTTTCCCTTGGCGGGAATCCCCCCATCCCAATACTCTTCAGACCCGGGCCTTTGGGGCTGGGAGCCGGTCGATTATCCGTTGAGTGGGAATAAGGCACGGCTGGCGAGTTTCGTTCGTGCAGCATCGAAGGGGGCAGCGGTGCCCCAGGCCCAATAGGAGTGTTTGGGTGTGAAGCAGAACCAGAAGCCGCATGATCCGGATGGCCGGTGAAGACGCTGATTCTGTCCCCAGAAGGTCTGCCCTCGTGAGCTCTCGACTGAGGCTCTGATGGGTTCAGTATATTATGGACACCCAGAAGTCTTGGTGGGACTTGTTGCTGTCTCAAGTCTTCGGCAGCATGGAACCCGCTGCTGTATTTCGGAGCGCCAATGCCACTGTCAGGCTGGTGCGGCGCATTTGGATTGCTCGTCGACGTCTCCCGAATCGACGACCCAGGAGTCTGGTAACCGGAACCATGGGGCGTCGCAGGACTCCTCTGCGACATTGAGATATGATCCCCACTGATTGCTTGGCCCCAAGGCCTACTACATCGATTGTCTTGACCCGTGCTGGGATTCTGCGGCGCGCTCTGCCCAAAACTGAGCCTCTTCGGCGAGGTCTTTGAGGAATAGGTAGGGGTTAGCGGCGTCCGCGGGGAGTTTGGGCTCGTCGTGGCCGTATACTCAGTCAGGAGAGAGGCAGGACTGTCCTGGCCGGGCGCTGCCTGTTGCAACAGGCTGGTCGTTGTGAGCGCCAGGATGATGTCGATAACCCGGGACTCGCTGGGAATGGATACCCAAACAGCCCGCTACTTCTTTGTGGATCGAGGACAGGAGTTGGGGGAAAGATGCCAGAGTCTCTTCGTAGGCCAAGCCAGTCGCTTTCCTGGTCAACCTCTTCGCTTCTCACCGCGTGGGAGTCAGTCAGAACTCGATGATCCGAGGGCGTCAAAGGCGAGAAATGGCTGTGATGGGAGGGGTAGTCCTAGCTTGATAAGGGTGCTAGGGACGCAAGCTGCACGGCACGAGGAGGTGCGAGGTGAATAGAAGGTGCTGGACGGTGTGCAATAGTCTGCAGTTAGGTTGACCAATCATACTTTGCAAGACAGCTCTTGCTCAATGAGTGGTTGGCCAAATGGGCGCCACTGTCGAAGGCAGCAGCGGTCTCACCGGATGGGATATACAGTCCGTCCAAATGCGCCCAGTTGGTAAGGTGGTGTCAGCCGTCTAGTCGCCCAAACCCCCCGGAAAGAAGCGTGTTTTGCTGGCAACAAGAAACACGGTCGGGAACTCGGATAGATGGATGGCGCGTGCTGTGTGAGGCCAACAACCAACGCCCGAGGGGAAATGGACAGCAAAGACGCAGCAGCTGGATATGACCCGAAGCCTCCAATGAGGAGAGAGGATGAGTATTACCGAGGCCTGGGTGAAGACTGCGCCTCAGGATCTGACCGGAACAGGAAACGAAGAGAAGAAAGGGAACAGAAATAACAGTAGAAGTAATACCGGCAACTGGTCGAGAAGAAGGGGACAAATAGAAGAGAGAGTACTTTTGTACGAGAAGACACAAGCACGAGGGAAGGTTCAGACAATGTCAGGGAACCCGGTCAAAAAACGGACGTCACAGATGGCCCTGCCAACTAGGTGTCCTGGTTAGGTCGTGGGAGTGACGAGATGGGGAATCGAATAGGCAGAGGATTGGATGAGGAGGAGGGAGATCGGTCAAGGATAAGTTGTGGAAGGCGGCGGAGGTAGTTGTTTATTGTATCACGGGAAAGGATGCACACGAGGGTACCCAGTCATTAAAGCAATACTCGAGCGGCAAGCTAGCAAGCCAGGCTGGCCGGCCGTTCATGTAGGTGAGGGACGGTCCCCACGCAATCTCATCCAGCGCTATATCACACGAGCTGTAGGGACAACAGCTCTCTCCATTCTGAGAAACGTCACAAACCAGTGAGTGCCTTGCTTGAGCTCCGGCCATGGGTACCCATCGACAGGGAGGACCACAGCAAGCAATGGGGGTCTTGGAGAGGTGCATCGCAGGGGTTGGGTGTGAGGCAGGGATCGTTAGTTCAGCGAGGGTGGATCACCAACCTGCTAACGGAAATGGAGCACATCTATATGTACATGCAGCACAGCTGTACATAACTAGTACGCTCTAGGATGCAGGCAGGTTAGCCTCCGCCTGGATAGATGTGCCCCTCCCCGTCGCAAATGACGGCCCAGGTCGAACAATTTTGTAGGTTGGGTTTATTGGGTCACCTTGACGGGCCGAGACTAAACCACGTTCTGGTGTCCAGCAAATAACCTAGCAAAAGACCCCAGCGGGATGGTGTCGTGGTCGTGACAGTAATCTGATCCCTGGGCCTGGATATGGCTTGTCAAGCTTGTCCATGGACGGTACTATGTATTCGACCAAGCGGTGCAGTCTGGTCTCTCGACCGACCCGAGGGAAGAGCCAAGGGCAGTAGAGGACGCCACAGGGCGGATGGAGGCCGGAGGACGACAGACTTGTTTGTGGATGAACGCCCGAGGAAGCGGTCAAGTCAAACCCCTACCTTGCCTTACCTCACATCAAAGCAGCAGATGGATGTGCATAACGCAGACCACTCCACCAAGGAACGTGAGCTGGTGGTGGTGGCCGCTGGTAAGGAGCTGTTAGGGCACTTTTCGGGCTGCTCCCGCTTGCCCGCCCCCTGCAAGCAATGTAGCGCACGGTGGCCATTGCTGGCCCTGGATACCAACTGCCTTAGCGCATACGCAAATCACGGCGGCGGTCAGAGTGACGGCGGGCTGGACACCTTCACTGCTGGTGGTGGCATGTCCCCATCCGGCGGACGTGCATGAGGCGGCGATGGGCGAGAGAAGAGAGGAGAAGAGAAGGGACGACAAGAAGCGGTCTTATGCCCACCGCCGCGTGCCAATGAGGAGCCTGCGACGAGACTCATTAGCGAGGAAGCCGCTTCAATACATGGTAGGGGCCAACACTAGCGCGAGGAATCCGAGGCGAGGCCAGTGATTTGGTGGCGTTGGTTGGATGCTGCCGCAGTCAGATGCATCCAGACAGCGCTTCGTCACCAACCGATCCAAAGAGGCGTGTAGGAGCGGCTCCATTGAACAACCTCGAGTGTGAAACAACCACAGCAGCAACAACAGCAACAACAGGACCCCAACCCGCCTTCGATTTGGGGGTTGGGGGCTGCCTGATCTTCCTCCTCCTCCTCCCACGGGAAAACCCTCCTGGCGTCACTCGCAGCGGGCAGAAGAGGAGCTGATGGCCCGGGCCCGGAGCGAAATCGAAAAGAAAATAAAATCAAAGACCTACCTAAATCAAACGTCGGGGAAAAGCAAGTTCAATGGGTCACTTCCATCCCGGGCCGTCACGTCACCAAAGGATCGATGGCTGTGGTGGGCAGGAGCGATGGAGGTAACAAGCTCAACGTGCATGCCCGTTCTTGGGCAACGACATCTGCAAAGACGGCAAGTGTGGCTGGCCATGTCCGTTTTGGGTGCCCAACAGGAAGGAACAGCACAGCACCATCGGCGCACAAGGCAGGTGGTAGGCAGGCAGGTCTCTCTCCTGGGAATGATGTGTGATGGGAGGTGCCCACACACAAATTGGGCGCCTAAGTTTGCAGATGATTAGCTGGCTCCTATCCGCCGTCAACACATCAGAGGCAGCATCCCTCCCTAGCCGCAGTGAGAGCCAGGTCCCCACCGCAACCCTACCTCTGATCTCCAACGCCAATCACTCGCCCAGGCACCTCGAGGCGGCAACCAGCTCATGCAGCCAGACGAGGCACGCGTGTGCTGTGCAGAACGAGCGAACGGCCAGCTCACGCCTACACCATCACACTGCACCCACATCTGCACTGCTCTCGCTGCTGCACCCACATCTGCAACTGCCACATACCTACTGTGCATACGCAGCCAGGTCTTTGTACGTGTCACCACCCACCCACCCAGCCTGCCCTGGCCTGGTTGGCCGAGCCCACATGGCTTGATGTCTTGCTTGTCCCGCGAGAGGAGAGCTGTATGTCATCCACCTTCGCTCGGTGACGTGGAGCCCGGGTTGTGGCTGCGTTACCCACAGTCTCCTCCACATGACACAATGGGACGAACTACACACGCAGTTGCATGTACCGGCCGATGGGAGGAGGAAGGTGTGGGTGAGCGGAGAGGATTTGTTGTACAAACCCTTGGCGCACAGTCTCAGACTCGAGACCTCACCTCACCCCCAGCAATTGGGCATTCCCGCCGCCAGGCACTGCGCTCTCGCGCTCGCGGGCCATCCAACCAAGTACTCCCGAGAGCAGGAACATGCATCTCGAGCCAGTTGCTGACCACGGACTGTGTGACAAGGCCAGGCTTTCCCGGCTCGCGAGGTACGTACCTGTGCGCATCACTCCACCATCCCATCTCGTTCTGGACCTCCCAGACTTTCGCGGCGACCGGATTTGGAACCGGTCCCTCGACATGAAGTATTTTACCCCTGTCGTGACTGCGACCCTACAAATTTTCAAACATCCATTTCAGACGTGGGAGAGAGGGGCGGCAGGCTCACGGCTGCTTCGGATCCGCGGCGGGCGAGTGTGTGCTCGCAATGGCCGATGACCGATGACAGCAGACACGCCACGACAGTCTTGCTTTAGTACTACTACTACTACTAGGTAAGACAGACCCCAGAAGCCAGAGAGGTCAACCAGACGGGCGCAAGTGACTGGTCGCACCAAACACAGTCCTCTCAACAAGTGGCATTTGAAACTAGCAAGGCAGGATGGGCGCTGGTTTCATTTCATTGAAACACGGATAGCCCTGCTTACGAGATATCGAAAAGTGCCGTCCACCATGAAGATTAAAATGATGGATGATGTCAAGCAGCCACTCCCACGCGAGCGCACGGAGGCCCTTCTGGCACCTCTGGAAACCTAGGCACATTTTCCCCGATGCCAGGGCTGCTTGGACACATGCACACAAGTCCTCAAACCCACTGCAATCTTGCTCCACCCCTGCCCCTGTTAGAGTGTGGCTGTCAGGCGGGCGGGATGAGCAGCTGCTGCGTGACTTTAGATTCTGCTGCGGCCCATATGCGACCTCATCGTCACAGCGGCTGCTCTCCCGTGTGCCTGCGCAAGTACTCGATACAAAGCGGAAACCGCATGCTGACCTCGCAGCAGTTACTCCATGCTCCAAGACAACCGCTCGGATAAGCATGACAGCTCACTTTTGGGGTCGCACCAGCTTCTGCTCTGACCTTCCTCTTCGCCCCCAACATCTCACCATCCCCCCAATGCGCCGATCAACTCATCCCAACCAACAGACGAGGACATCGTTGAGATGAAGGAAGGATTTGCGATGTGACATTATGTCTGGCATACAAGGTGGCACCAGGTCAGGTGGATATGATGGCTATTCTCCTACCTGGTGAGTGATCGACTAGTCCGCTCCCCGGCAGCCGCAAAGTACGAAGACCAATTTCAGGTCGATCCGGTAATTAATAAGAGTAGCGAAATGAGGCTGCGAGCGCGTGCAAAGTCAATGTGAGTAGCGCGCCTCTGTCCAAGGATCCCGTCTATTTGGAATTGATATCCCCAACCTCGTCTCTCAATCCACGCCCACAAGTCGACTCTACCCAAGGGCCTACACCATCCGTCGAACGGCTAAGGCCAAAGTTAACTCTAACACTGCTTGCGATCCGTGCCATCGGTACCGACTAAAGCCCAGCTGGGCTATCACCATGTCAGCCCTTGACCAATCACGCTGCTTCCCACGCCCCAACCCTCCCCCCACCTGACGGGTGAATTGAAGGATTGGAACTACGTGCATGTCTCAGTTCGCTGCTGGAAATTATTCCCAGCATGGGGTTGCTCGCTGGAGCAGCAAATATGCACCCCCGGCTGATGGATGGGGCAGATTCAGCACATATGCAGCCGCCGTGAATGGCACAAATACCCCAGGCCCTTTGGCTCGTGCTTCCCGTACCGACTACCTTCCCTGCCCTTGGTGAGCCAACCATTGGAGGTTCTCACGGTCCCTGCTTTCACCAATGGCCGTCGAGCAGGCGGTGCAAGCCTCGGCACAACTGGAGGTGTGATTATGCAGCACGAATGCCATGCAGCTCGCATGCTGCACCTGATAAGTGAAACCGGCCGCAGGAAAACACGTAACGACATAATCCACCAATATGAACCGTTGGGGTGGGCACACGCTGGGATTCAGCGCTTACTGCTGCCAACTAAAGCCCGGCTCCTCTGTCACTACCAGGCCAAATTACCATGCAACGAAAGGCCAGCCATCACCTTTCTTCGTGACCCATCTCAGGGTGATGGCGAGATTAGATCTATCTCTCCCAGGTCCCATCACCAGCGCTCCCTTTCAGCGTTGAAAAATGCTTGAAAATGCTGACCTTCCGACAGGAGTTGCGGTCCCTCGCTTCCGTGGCGCAGAGGCCCGCTGAGGGTGAATATTGGAGTATCGGAGACGAGGGCCGCCGTTCCTCGATGTTGCATCGCCGCGCATTTCATGGCGCATTTCATGTGAGCATCGTGTAATAACCGTACAAGCGATTCATCTGCCAGCCTAATAAAGAGCCAAGATGTCCTGTGATTGATTTTGATTGACTCTTGTAAAGTATCTCTCGTTGACTCTCCCATAAACCAAAATAGCATCATTGCCTACCTGGAGGCCACATTCTCAAAAAGGAAAGCGAGCGTACCGGTTTCCGGAGCTCATCTTCAAGCTCACCAAATGTCTACCTTCCAGGAGTGGGAGTCCAAGCAACCTTGGCTGGACATCCGCTGCAGCCTGGGCGAAGGCCCCTTCTTCGACGAAGAGAGCGGCACGGTCCGGTTCCTCGACATCAAGCAGAAGCGGATACACCAGGTGTCGCTCAAAGACGGCATCTCCAGCCTCGAGACCATCCAGCTCGACGTCGCCCCCACCGTGACGTGCAACATCGCCGGCGTCAAGCCCAGCGACCGGATCCTTATCGCCGTCAAGACAGGCATCGCCGTCCTGGACTGGAAGACGGGGAAGTACGAGGTGATTGGTGCCTTTCCCCCCAATAAGCGGCTTCGAAGCAACGACGGCTCGGCCGACCCACAGGGCCGGTTTTGGGTCGCCACGATGACGGATTTCGAGTTTGGGGAGTGTAAGCCTGAAGGTAGCTACATGTCATCACCTTCTCCAACCAGAGATGGGCCCAAAATTAACTTAGTTTCGGGAGTTTGGGACTGGATACTACGCAGTTTCTAGCTAACAAAAGCGACCAGGTTCACTCTACTATTTCACAAAGGACCACCAGGCCGTCGAGGTCCTCAAGGACCTCATCATCCCTAATTCAGTAGGCTGGTCTCCAGACAACAGCGTAATGTACTTTACCCACTCGACAGCCCACCAGGTGCTGGCCCTGGACTACGACGTAGAGTCCGGGCAGGCCACGAACCAGCGCGTCTTCTACGAGCACAAGGGTCCCGGGGACCCAGACGGGTTCCGCGTCGACGTGGAGGGCAACATCTGGCATGCCATCTGGGGCGAGTCTCGAGTCGTCAAGATCAGCCCGGCCGGCGAGCTCGTTGGCCAGATCAACCTGCCGACGCGAAACATCACGTGTGTCCAGTTTGCGGGCACGGAGCTGGTCATCACGACGGCGGCGGACGAGGACGGCGACGACGAGACGAGCAGGCGGTTTGGAGGGGCGGTGTTCAAAGTGGAGGTCGGGGTTCGTGGACTGGGACTTTTTGACTTCACGCTCAACACAGAATAACGAAGTAATCGGCGTTACGAGGAGGGTCAGGCCTGAGGTGGCCCACGCCGTGCCACGGTCGCGACGCGCCCCATAATGGAGGAAACAAGCCTCTGAAAGAGGAGGTCAACAGATTTGGGAAGATGGGAATATGTGTGACATCCAACAGAAGAAGGAAATTGAGGCAGGGATTTGGGAAGTGAGAGGTGAAACCAGCCCAACTCCCATTCCCAACCTTGCGGCCCGGCGCACGGGTATGCAGTCTCCTGCATGGGGGGCCAGGGACCAGGAACAATGTACACCAGACCAGAAAAAATATTAGGCGCTCTTTCTATTCTATGCTACCTACCTACCAGTTATTCGTCCGTCCTCGACTCTGTGCATATCTTGTATCTATACGAGACGTACCTTGTCCACTCCCACTTGCCAAGCTGGCGACGTGGGTTCATGCACGCAGGCCCTCGCCATCCAGACCAAGTTAAGTACACATATGCATTGACAGGGTTCAGGTACAGATTCCCATGTCCCGAGGCCATGACGCATCGCGCCCAGCGGCCCAATGAGTTGGCTGGCCGCTGCTGCAGGGCTATTGACGCTGAACTACCAAGACCCTCGAGAGAGACGCTCCCAGAAACATCAACACTGCTTCACCGCCCCTCACCGCTGGAAAGTGTGGCCAACTTGGGGCCGGGGTCAACTTGGAAAAGAGGGCAAGAGAGGATCGGTTCGTGCGTCTGCATGTCACCTGCACAACGACAGATGCGGTGCAAGCTGCTTCGCGCCAGCTCGGCTGCAGGGGATCAGATATGCGCGGCCAGCCAGCCACACAAGGCGCGCCAGCCATCGCCATCTCCATCCACCGATGGGGATGGGCATGGATCTGAGATGCGTGCGGTAAGCAGGCATGGCCGACAAAAACGTCCACCTCGTTGATCCCTCTGGCTTCAGTCATGACCGCATTCGCCTGGAGAAGAGTTGTAGCGGTCTGGCACTTCACCGCCTGGTTACACAGCGCATCGATCTCGGCTTTCCGTGTCTAAACTGCGTCGTCGTCGGTTATCACCCCCCTAGCCGCAGGTTTTCTGACATGTATGATGTATCCGACAATCTTTCTTGTTTCCCAATATTACTTCATTTCGCAGCCAAGGAACCAAGGGCACGCCTCATAGCCGTGTTACGGAGGGGAGGACATGGGCTTGCTGTTTGATGTGCCTCATCCCTGCGAGGTAAGCAGTTTACTCACCATTGCTCATCATCTCTTTTCTTTTCTTTTTTCATTTCATGTACTTCAGTGAGAACCTATCCCACCAATCCCGTGAGCCTCGCACCACACAATCAATCTTTGCACCTTGCTTTTTTGCTGTTTCTTTGCTTTTTCCATTTTTAAAGAGGGGCCCCATCAGAGCATGCCATCATCTAATAGCGTGGGAAATAAGAAAAATAAGTTCAGGGCTGACTACCATGTCAACGAGGGCAAATAGCGGCGCAGAGCTCTCTGGTCAAATGACTTGGACTCATTCATTCTCATCCCAAATGTCCTGCCGCGCCCCCATCTGTCGTCACAGCGAAATGACCCTCTCCCCTCCCACAGCTGGGAGGTTGTCCAAAGGCGGTAGGTAGATATGGATACGTAGACGCGCAGCCATGCATGTATGCAAAACGCCCTCAGCTACCAGGACCATGTGCCGCGTGCCCCATTTCCTGGGTCGCCCTCTGGGAGATTTTCATAAACCCCGAAAGTGGTCTCCCCCACGTGCTCAGCGTGATCCTTCTTCTCACCGCGCGGCGGTACACCCCCTCCTTCACCTTACCTCACCGTGCTGCTGTGTGATTCCTTGATGCGGTAAGCAGCGAGTCAGATCCCGTGAGGGCGCCTGAAACCAGATCGCCAGCCTCTCACTGCGAACTTCGGCGGCGGTCACTCCTTCATACCCATCGTAAGGGTACACCTCCATCGTCCACTCAACTGGTGACGGGATCAGCCCGGACGGATGTGTCAACTAGCCACTGGCTAGTGCAATGACTATCAGCACGCTTTCTCCATCTCCATGGGGGGGTGTGTGTGCTGCCCGGCCACTCACTTACAGAAAGACTACCTACAGTACACTATCCGAAGGGGGGGTCCGGCTGAAGAGGAGGAGGCTAGCCAGGGAGATTATTGAGATGCTGATCCAAGCTCCTCATCAAATCCCAAGATCGGTGACGCTCATGGCTCCAGTACCCTGTCCGCGAAATGGGCGATCTGACCTCCCTGTCGGTAATGCATGCGAAAAATTGTGTGATGAAATCAAAAACATCATTCATTAAGGTTTCATGGCGGAGGCTGGGTCCCAGCTTCGTACATAACATGTTCCTCTCCCAGTCTTCCCCCCCAACCTCCCCACTGAGGATCCTTTGGCCACTAGGCTGGCTGATGCTGGCAACTTGCAATCAAGGCACCATGAGACGAGGCCCCAGGGAGGGGAGGGGAGGGAAAGAAACGATGGCTACATAATTCCACTGTCATGTTTTCTCGCAAGGATCAGCAAAACAGTCCTGCTGAGGCACTAACGACGATCAGTCAACACCCACCCTCCACTCCTCCCCTCTCCTCCCCTCCTGTTCCTTCAGAGAAAGGAATATCAGTGTCCAACCGACCGACTGGGCAGCGGGCTCGGATGGAGAAACCGGCCGGAAGTGTCCCCTGTTTTTGGGCACCGCCTGGGGGTCCCATTGTTCCCTCCTTGAAAAAGAACAATGGGGCAGCATCTCGATCTTGGCCCGGCCGCAGCGTAACAGCGAACTAGCTGGGCAGGTTCATTCCTCAAGCAGAAAAAGACGTACACGCGCCTAAATCCTCAGAGGACCCCTAGACCTCCGACCAAGAAGCAGTTCAGCCCAGCCCCTCCCTCCCTCGCTCCCCGGCAACTTGGCCGTTGCGCGTATCCACCAGGTTGAGGACCCCCCCTCGCCAGTTTGTGCGCCTCCATTGTTCCGTCAGCAAATCTCGAGTTTGTGTCTAAACTTGGGCCTGATGGCGTACTATGTACGTCTCGTTTCCCTTTCCTTTCGTGGGGGGCCCAGTGGCCAGGTGACTCGCGCGAGTTGCCAACCAGCGATGGGCTCATCGAGGCCTGGGCGCGTGTCGGCTTGTGCGTGCTCGGCTCAGCCCAGCAAGACAGCACATGTATGGAGTCAAACAGACCGCTAGTTGCCTACCTGGGGATCAACGTACCAGGCTGGCAGTCTAGATGGATCACGCTCGGCATGGCCACGTGTCTTGGGCATTCTTGCTTTCGATGGTGCATTTGGGGTTTCTGAATCCTGCCTGTGAGAGTAAAAATTCCATGCAAGGTAGGTGGTTGGGCTCCAGGCAAGACAGGGCGGCAAGGTCATTGAGTCATTGAGTCATGGCATCCTCATCCGCTTCCAAAGGACCTATGGCCAGTTCATCATCTCTCGCCAAGTGACTTTATTCTGCATAGGGTAAGTAGAAACTAGGTCCATGCAACTATGGCGTTGAGCTCGTGGAATAACGCCGCTGTACACTGCGTAGATGCCATCATTGTGTCGGTTGAGCACTTCCAACAACGGCAACCATATCTAACAGAGTCTCAACTTCGAATCGGGGCTACAACTTAACCGGCCCATGTCTGTATCAGGTTAAATTTGCGATGCTCATACTTTTGACCCCTGGGGAGAGAAGATGTTCCATACCTAGGTACACTACTGCAGAGCCAAGATCGTAGATGTCGCTTGAGAGACGGTCCATTCTCGCCCTTCCATCTCATCATCCTGTATTACCGTCTATAGCCAGAGGAATCCTTCTCCAGGTCTGTGTTTATCACCAGGTCATCTTTTCCTCTCATGTGCAACACAATTGTCAACCCCTCTATCCCAAAATCGTCGCACTCATGACGCGCCAAAGCGTCTCCCACTCCAACATCAATTCGACCAACCCGTAAGCTTCCCGTAGCCTGACTCGTATCCTCATGTGAATTCATCTCAGATTTAAGTTGTTCCACCTCTGAGTTCAAGTCCATACAGCGTGTCCTCCATTCGCAAGCGTGGTCTGGAGGCAGAAATGGTTTGGGATTTCGTATCTTGGGCCGCTCGGCCTCCTTTCCTAGCACTTCCTTCACCGTTCTCTGGGGGGTCCGAGTAGTCCTCTCGGCACTTCGACGTTCAGCTTGATTCTTCAGAAGTTCCTCAGCACTGTGTCTGGCAAGTGAGTTTTCCAAATCCCGTAATTTGAGCCGGGATGGTGTTTGCTCCAGCCATTCTTCTCGAGGTTGGCGGAAGTCACGAGTACTTGGTCCGGGCAGTGCGACTTGACTCTGCCGCCCGGCGTCCACCTCCTCGACGCCCAGAGAAACGGTAGGCTCGTCATTGTTCAACGATGCCTCTTGACTTGGGTTGCAGAACCCACAGTCGTATTCCTTCTCACCTTGCGTCTGCGGAGTTCTCGTCAGCCGGCTCAGGCTACGACCCCATTCCAAGGGAGGCGTGGTTTGTGGCTTAGGAGACTCGTCATTACGGAGTCTCTCGACCCTTCTCAAATGCTGCCTCACTTTCACCAAGCTGGCATTTCCCGGGTCATGGTGTAAGGCATGTATTTCAGGATCTTCGGTCACTCTCCGTAGTGGATTCTTTGCCCAAGGGGCGGTTGGATCAGCATCGTGCTGCGTTTTCTCCATCGCCGGCCTTCCCACCTTCTTCAGCTTGGGCCAGGAATCCATATAAGCCTCTTCCGGCAGGTGCGGATAGGGGGTGTATGGTTCCTGTCTCTCGTACTTCTTGTGGGCAATGAATCTCTGAGGTGCGTCCATTCTTAGGTCAGATTCAGCTCGGCTTTGTTCCGTTACTTCGAGCAATGAACTGCTAGAAACCTGGTATGTTGAAGACTTCTCGTCTGTCGTCTTAGGAAGATTCGGAGTACTTTTCGCGTAATGGCTTCTGGATATGGCTCCAGAAAAGTCCGATATTCCGTCAGGCTTAGACTTCTGTGAAGACATTTCTCCCATAATCGTGTGAGAAGGTCTACTCAGTCCCAGTATGCGAGTATGTTCCTCTGATTTTGATTCTTTCATGGGTGCAAGCTCCTGCTGAGCACTGTGGACAAAATCCGGGTTGCTTTGGGGGTGAAAAACTGAGTCATCTGCCAGATTGTGACTAGGGAAAAGACTCTCTGTTCGCTCAACGCGGTCCGCTGGTAAAGAGTGTACTCGATGAATATCCGTATTCCCGGCAATAGTTGTCGTACTGTCCTCATGTATATCATGCCCAGATCCAGAATGAGAGACATCCCCCTGCTGATCCTTTTCCATAGAATGTAACCGCATATCGCTTGGAGTAGGCTGGCTGATGAGTCTTCCAGTCCCTCTCCGTGGCACTACATGTCTGTCAAGTTTGCGTGTCCCTGCAGCCAAATGGTCCATGATGTGCTGTGACCTATTGAGGTCCTCGGCATGTTGGTAGAGTTGCTCTATTTTTCGCTGCAGCGGATCGGAAATAGTTGGTTCGTGGTTTTCTAAAGTGCTTCGTTGCTTGAAGGCCTCTGTTACAACTGCATCTTCGGCCACTTTTGTTTGAAGAGCTACTTTCCCAATGCCGGTATAATCCGTGCCGTGGTATGTTTCATCATATATAGGCCCAGCAGTTGGGGAGTCCAACATGGTGCTTGTTCTATGCACTGATGATTGACTAGCTGATCGGTCTATTCCACGAGGCACACAGTCAGACAATCGGTAGGGCTGGGTTGCGTGTGCCTGTTCGTTCGACGCCTGGGGATTTGAAACGAATGCTTTTGCGCTCCGGTCTGCCTGGACGAAAGGGTTGTTTTTGACTGAACTCCCAACCTTCACTACGGTCTTCTTCCGTGTCATGTTCCTATCGTCAGTCTTGATGCCAGCCGCAAGATCGTCATGAATCTTATTTGCCCTCTCTGGCCTTGGTGTTGAGCCTCTGTCTCTGGACCGAGTGCTCGATTTCCGCAAGGCTTGGGGGCCAGGTTTTTCGATAGATTGGGGGGACGGGGAGCGGTTCCGAGGAGTACGAATTGGTGTTCGCAGAGGATCCTGAGGGGTTGTCGCAGGAGAGTGGGCCAAGGGATCGGGCAGAGGAGGATAATCCAAGGGCATCTCGCTTGTGCACTTGATACAAGAGTCATGTCCACAAGTCGGGCATTCCTTTCCAGTGCCAATGGGTAGCCGGCAAGAGTGGCACACATGATATGAATAAGTGGTGTTGTTTGGATGATAGACACGATTCTCATCATCTCCTCCTGAGTTTGCCTCAGAGAGCCAGCCTTCTGGACGAGTGATTCCATATTCGTCAAAGATCTCGCGGGCGTCTTGGCGCATGGTGGTCGAGTCTGCAGATCTAGAGTCTATGCTTCGTGAAAACGATGTCCGAGAGACGGATGGGGGATATTTTTGACGATCGGTACTGGATGCCCCCGTCTGGTTACCCTGCCGTTTGCCCATGCGGGCTCGAAAACGAGACTCCCTCAATTCTATCCATTCAGTCAGTGGAACTCCTACCGGCGCTCTCAGCGTTGACTCCTCGACGTTGTGAGCTGTGGTCATGGGTACAGCAGAAATCTTCAATGGCATAGTGTACGGCCTCGATTTCCTCGTCTGGCGATCCACTTGATCAGAGCCTTGGTAGTATTCATCGGCATGAGGATCGGTATAATCTCCCAAGAGCGTGTTTCGAGAGGCAGGTTTCGTAAAGCTCCTGTCGGCGCGTCTCCCCTATCCAACCGTAGTGCTTTCGCGTTCCCGCTGAGCCGCATCATCTTGAACCCGACTGTTGTCATCTTCTGAATGTCCCTTTGCATCGATTTGGCGTATCCGGGCACCCACAATACCGGTAGGAATGCTCTGCTTCCGAGAGGCGGTTTTCTGGCTCTGAAGGGAAGGCGACCTTTTTGCGAAGGGGCTAAAGATTCCCGATAATGAATGGGCCATGTCAGTTAATGGATATTACAAAGAAATAGAGTAATGAACAACACATCTACGACGTAGGTCGCCGTTAGACCCATGACAATTGAGAGAGAAAATACATAGGAATGAGGTTACGGCGGCAGTGTTAAAACAAGCAGAGTCCAGGCAGCGAAGGCGGTGCAAATTGAAAAGAACGTTTGGAAGGAACGACAGAGCAGATAGAAAGCAGGTACTAGCATGCTAGAAGCTGGTGTAGCCTCTGAAAGAAAGGCGTGAGCTAGCTCGCCGCTCCTTCTTTCCTGTGATGGGATATTCAAGAAGATTGTCTACTTCGTCGACAAGGGAACGGGATAGAATCATGGGCATGCAATTTTGGTAGACACGGAGAGACGAGAAAGTCACAAGGCAGAATTTTTGACCACAAAAGAAAATGGTATTTTGCAGTGCCACAACATGCAATTGGCTGTCAAGGCGCAGTGCTAGAAATTTGGTAGGAAATTGTGATGTACAGAGACCGCGCCGGTTTATTCACCATATGCTTATTTGACATGGGCAGCCAGAGTCTCGAGAACCTGTTGTTCCGGTCAGCAAATATTCGTATCAAAAAGGAAATCACAATCTGTGCCTACCTCCAGCTCGATCTTGGCCTCGGCAATATCCTGCTCGCTTCCACTACCATTGGCGACCTTCTGGGCCTCAGCGATCTGGGCACGGACGGCATCGGCGCTGAAATCCTCGATAGGGTAACCTTCAGGGGCGTTGACGCTCATGATAGAGTTGGGTTGAACAGTAGCGAATCCACCGGCAACTGTATATAATGCGGTCAATATTATGGTTGGAGGGTCTCGGAAACGCGGATGATGTTGGCTACGTACGGAAGAACTGCTTGGAAGCACCGCTCTCCTCAACAACCTCAACCACACCAGGCTTAAGCTGCTCGATCGAGGGAACGTGGTTGGCAAGAACACCCATCTCGCCCGACTCAGCGGGGATGTTGACCTGAACGACCTCCTGGGACTTGTAGATGGTCTGCATGCGGCAATTAGCTCCAGCTCATCAATTGTCGCGCGAGGACCTCTCGTGGGCCAATTGCAGTGGGAACGGCATTATATCGATCGGGGCATCGGAGGATTCGTACCTGGTGAGGGAGGGACAGGCTCAGCTTGATCTAGAGGCTTGTCAATAATGAGCTCGAAAAATTGGTGGAGGGGGTCGCACGAACCTTGTCGGAGACGGCCTCAGCGTAGGTTCTTCGCTGGGCGGGAACTCGCAGAGCTGAGGGGCGAGCTCGGAGAGCCACGCGGGCGAAGCGGAACGAGTTCATGATGGGCTGAGCGGGTGATTGAAGGTGTTGCTGGTAGGAGGTCGGATTGAGGCGCTCGTTGGCTTGATTCTTTGCCGAGCAGCAACGAGCATCTCGGCTAGCGGGAAAATCCGATCTGCGGAATGCCACGTGATATGTCACGTGTCTCCCCTCTGGGTGACTGCGAAATCTTGCCTCGATGAAACTATCACAAATACTAATGCATATGGTATTTTCGTAATTCTAGCTAACTTTACTTCAATTACGCTCAAACGGCGTGTCCTTCTTTGTCCTTAAGAGTCAGCCTTGTCCGAGCATTGTTCAGTTTCAAGCCTCGAGACTTGTTTGCTGCTACTTAACGATTAGACGATCATGATTCAGGTCCAGGAATATCTCTAGTGGGCATTTACTTCATCACATGGTAAAAACACAGCTATTTTCTGAGGTCAGGAGTTGTAATAGTTGGTGAGTTACTCTTAGAGCCGGATCTTGATAGTCGATGTAGTGTAAGTTGTAACTTACATATGCACTGGCGATCTTTCTATTCATACCATCAATCCACGTTGTGGCAGTACTTCGTCGAGTGGATTCATGGCATTCGTGTGGTACAGTTCGACTGCGCCGGCATCTTCATCACAACGAAGCATCTCCAGTCACAAGCTTCCACATGTCGCACAACAAATTGTGCCCGGCGCGGTCCATGATCGCCGGAGAGATGGCCATATTATTTGCCCGTTATGAGGGGAATGAGGGGGGTGACAAGAGTATACTTGTGCTAATGGTTTCAGAACCTTTGGTGTCGATTCTTACACCCTTTGTCCCTCCAGACAAGCGGGATTGATATTAATGAGGAAACTGGCAATCGCCGCACCAACCTATGCGAGTCTAGGTCGCAATTTCTTGACATTGGTGGCTATGGTCGATGTTGCGGCCGGTGAGTGAGTTGCCGGTCCCATGTTGTTGGTCGGACAGCGTATTATCACCTGATGATGGTATCGCGGACAGAGCTATGTGAGTCCATTCAGCTTCATCGCCACCCACCCTGTCTGGTGAGTGGTCTGTTCTGTACATTAGCTTCCCGGGCCGGATATGTGAGGTTCCGGTAGGGGTCTGGAGATGGAAATGAGTCGCACAAGCATCAGTTCGATCACAGTGGCGAGAGTTCTACATAAGGCGTTTATGTGTGAAGGTGCACTGTATGGCCCAAGGGACTTAACTTAGTATGCAGGGTAGCCATTTGGTATCGGATCAACACTGGGAGCACCGGATCAACAGCACTGGATCAATACTAGAATGAAAATAGCTTGGGCTCTACAAAATGGAATACTGACATCAGACCTAGGGCATAGGGTAACCCGGACGAAGATCGTGGTAAGAATCCGAGCGGAGCCAGTAACGAGCGCGGGTTTTCTTAGTTCCATTGCCGGTGGCTAAATGCCGGGCCCTAGAAAACGTCTTTTGTGTGGCAGGTAGCGCAAACGTTATCCGGAGGAATCGATTGAGGTCTGGACTAGAGCCAAAGGTGGCTCGACACGGCAATACGGCAACTTTTTATTGGAAATCCCCGCGTCTGGCAAAACTGGGTCAATTGCGTCGAACATTCGAAGGATGGATGGCAATGGGGTCTAAAGGCGGAGTTGAATGTCCAATGTAAGAGGCATTTTGCTGGCTGGGGATACTGGCATCGAGGGACACAGCTCTGTGTTTCCCATCTGTGTATCCAACCTAAAGTTATCCTATACTGAGTCCGAGGGAGGGGAAATGTTAGTTTCCCATCGAGCAATGGCAATTCGAATTCTTTCGTACGCGCTGATGCCGCGTCGCGGGGTAGCAGCCCTCTCTGCTGACCAGGCTGCTCAGCTCACGAGGACACTACGTCAGATTACCCATCTGTTCACATGGAAGACGAGGAGGTGTGGTAGCCAAAAGCAATGGACCATAGTGTGGGGAATCAGGCGGACGGCCTCCAGCTCGGTCGACTGGTTACTTATGACATCTGATCTCGTGCATTTGTATTGGACTTGATCATTTCGCATTGGGAACAGCGCATAATCAAAAAGTCGATCCATCTAAGGCTGTGCAGGACAACTCACGGGAGGCAGCCAGCAATACGCTACCGCCTATCGAGTAGGTACATACGCCGAGCAGTAGGTACAACGAATATCCGCCAAGCGCAGAATCCGTCCCTCGTGCTTCTTAATGTAAGATGGGATTGGATCAGCCGTACGTATTGCGCGTCAAGCTTGGCGAGGTTGGGGAGAGTATGCATTCAACAACCTTCCAAGCGCGCATTGTGGCTGACTGAACTCTGCCCATGCCGCATATCGCATCCAGGTAGCTTAAGCCTCATCATCTAATATACCTACGCACGTCACCGATGAAATTGACCCATCCGGTGCTAAGGAATCAGACATCGATCGACACTACTTGGCACTAACATGTGCAATGCAAGGCGAACGAGAGCTGCTGGAAGGCAGGAGGAGCGCCTTTGGCTGGGATATCCCTCACACCACGGTCTGTAAAGGCTTCATGGGAGGCACCAGAAGCGGAAAGATGCATGACCTGGTAAGCAGATCTCGGAATATTGTTGACCGCCAGATGTAATTGCCAGGCTAAGAGACGTTCAGGGACTGCCTACCGTAATTTCCCCTAGACTGCCGGGCAGGAGACACCCCCGGCGTCAAACACCGAAAATACAGCGAAGGATGGGCAGCTACAGAGGCAAGAGAGTGACATAAAACATGGCACACCAAAGCTCTGTTCACGCAAGTCAAGGACCTCATTTTCGTATTAATAATGCAAAATTCAATAAAAATAATACTAAAAATTGTTATTATACAGTATTTAACTTGATATTATAAATATTTCTGGGTAATTGTTTAATCTTAGGTTGATATTGTGTTGAAATTCAATACTTGAGGTTCTGGGTGTGCCATGTTCTATGCCACCCGCTTGAGAGGCAGCCAGGCCGAGTTCCAGGCTCCGTTTGGCTGGCAGGATTAATCCCTCTTGTCCCTCCTCCGCGGTAGGAGGTACCTGAACTGCGCTGGTCTTGATCTGGCCTGGCTGTCGCGTCATGTACCTTTTGTCCTGCAGATCGACTGGGACTAAGGCGGCCATCGGTGCCCGCGGGTCTTGAACCTGCGCTACAGGAATAATCACCTTTGTGAGTGGCCAGGACCAGTGCCATCTAATATTAAAGCCAGAGGTGAATTACCTGTTTGGTGCATGTCTCTGGCACCGTCACCCACCTGATTTAGGGGACCGTAGTACTGTAATAAACCTTAGTTGACTTTACTTGGCCAGGGACGAATCCGGCCGGTGAGCTACGCACTGTCGTATGAGATATTTGTTCAGCGCTAGAACGACTCGTGGGTTCGTTCTCGGCGAAAATAGGCCCAGAATTCGGAACAAGTTTTTCACGCTCACGCTCCCCAACAGAGTAAGAAAATTTTCTTCAGTGGCGGATATTATACACGGCGTCATACTTTTTTTTTGCACCGGGAAAGAATCGGAGGGGTGCAAATGATCGGAAGCAATTTTCATTTCCCTTCCGGGTGAATGTTAGGGCCGCGCATAGCATAATTGGATGATGTCGAAATGTGTCAGTGTCCAGATCCAGTCAATGGATGGAGACTGTACAGTGCACTCTTTTCATTGACTGTTTGTATGTATGCATATGAATAAGATCAACAGCCACGACTAATGAGCCACCCTGGCTGTGCTCATCTTTCGACGTACGTGGAAGACAGTCCGCCAGCACAGTACGAGCGCCGAGGACAGCTGACTGATTAGTGGGTGAGGCTGTGTGCTCAGCGCTGAGAAGGCGCCGCTGAGGTGAGGTAAGCATGGTGAGCACAGTGCCCTCGGAATGTGCGTAGACACGGCTCAGCGGCCGGCCAATGGGGGTGGAGTGTGCGTTCATAGGGGACTGGAGCGGCATCCGGCTGGATACAAGGGCACTTGCGCTGGGCCGTGGACCGTAGCATTGCAGCGCCAAGAGGGCGGGCCTGCACTTGCGACGGAGCACCTCAACTGTGCAGCGACCCCCACCCCACAAATTGGGCGTTCCGGCCACTGAGCACACCGAAACCTTGGTGCCGGCTGGGAAGAAAACTTGTCTCACACCTAAATTACCATGTACCCTCTGTCTCTCGCAGGTCTCTGCATCTGGGTGGGGCCCGGCCAGGGTCCCACCTCCCTCCCTGACCCCGTCCTTTTTCTCGCAGTTCAATGAGTCGCTAAAGCTCCCTGTCGCCGCTGCTTTCCTTCTGGCCCACGTGAAGCTCCCTCGTCCGGACTGTTTCTTTGTGCTTGCTTCTTGTCTGCTCTTATTTGAAAGCCATTCTCTCTACCTCTCGCACTTTCGCATTCACCCTCGCACGACTCGACCCGTCAACTGTTCCTGCACTCCTGGTCTCGCCCTCGCCGATTGCAGACTCAGCCAGGCTGCTTTGTCATCTCTTTGGGGACAAGGGTGGCAGTACCGTCTCAAGCACCACAGAGCCCCTCGAGCCAAGGAGCGAGTTCCAGCAGCGCCTGTCTTAGTCGCCTCTGCACTGCCGCGCCCGCCACGGGAATCTTTAGAATACCAAGGGTCTTCCCTCTTGTCTTGCCACGGCTGGTGTTTTGCTTGGCTGGAGATTAAAACGCGATCGGCAGCATTTCACTGCCCCCCTGTCCTGACGAAATACCTGACGCAAGCTTAACAGGATCGTCGGTGCTCACAGGACGTCTCTGGCGCAAGCCGCATAACGTCGGGCAACGCCAACTCATTCCTTGAATCTGATTCCGCTGCTGGGCGAAACCACCAACGGCCCGTCACAGAACAAGAACAATAAACACAGCACACCCAGGACTCCACTAATTCATTTCTCAACAATGAATATCTCAGAGTTATAGCCAAAGCGTCCTCTGGGACAACTCTTTCACACTCGGCGCTATTTGCAATCAAAGGTCACTGGCTTTAGTGACTTCAACGATCTATCACGACTCAGCTATATCTTGCCTGTTGGCAGTCC